GGTCGAGAGGTCAACATGACAAATGACCTGGCACCCGAGCTGCGCAGGAGGAAGAGAGCGGCTTGGAACGCCTTCAAGAACGTCGAAGAAATAGCTAAGAGGACGAAGAACCTCCGGCTCCGGGCACATCTCTTTGATTCCACTGTTCTTCCTGCATTAACATATGCCTCAGAGACCTGGGCCCTACGCAAACAAGATGAGAACGCCATTCAGGTCTCCCAAAGAAGAATAGAAAGAGCTATGCTTGGAATATCACGTTTCACTCAAATGAGAGAACGAATCCGGAGTTCTGACATCCGTCGACGATCAAGGATCAGGGACGCTGTCTCATTTGCCAAGGTGTCTAAAATCAGATGGGCTGGTCACGTAATGAGATTTAAAGACGACCGTTGGACTAGAGCTGTTACTGATTGGATTCCACGGGATGTCAAGAGACCGCGTGGCCGCCCACCTACCAGATGGTCAGACTTCTTTGTCAAGGTCATGAACGATCGGTTTGAGGCCCTCCATGTTCCCGGAGCGAAAAGATGCCATTGGGCTACACTAGCACGTGACAGGGACAAATGGAGACGTTACTGGCGCCCGCTCGAGCAAATCGACGACTAACGGGAAGTTAAGTGATTAAGTGAAGTGCTTTTTGGGTGACACCCGGGGATGCATGGGAGTCACTCCTGGTTCATGCATTCAGGAATTATTCCTGGCGGTGCTCGGGGGACCATATGGGATGCTGGGATTCGAACCTAGGTCGGCTGCATTCAAGGCAAATGCCCTACCTGCTGTGCTGTTGCTCCAGCCCCCTGAGTTTTAAATATTAATAAAAGTTTTGCATTCCTAGACCTGAGGGGCAGATCAAAAGGCCAAAAGAGCATGCTGGGAACTCATGTTTAATGCCTGCACACAGAATCCCTGAGCACTAGGCTTGGAGTAGCCCCTGGGCACTGCCAGCTATGACCAAGACCAAACAGACAGGCAAGAAGCAAGCAATCCTGGGGCCAGAGCAATAGCACAGCAGGTAGGGCATTTGCCATTAGGCGGCAGACCCGGGTTCAATCCCTGGAAGCCCATATGGTCCCCCAAGCACTGCCAGGAGTAATTTCTGAGTGCAGAGCCAGGAGGAACCCCTGAACATCGCTGGGTGTGACCCAAAAAGCAGGGGGGAAAAAAAAAGAAAAAAAGAAAGCAATTCTGCATTCCTGATGTAACCCCACTGGCCATGAAAGAGTATCCTTTCTACATGCTGTTGGATCTTACTGATTTTTTTTTGTTTGTTTTATGTAGGAGTACTGCTATTTATTCAGCCACTGATTAGCTGATTGAATTAGGCATGAACTCCACCTTACTTTTTTTTTTCATAATTTTATTTTTTTCCTCATATCTATTTATTACTGAACCACTGTGGGAAAAGTTACTAAGCTTTCAGGTTTAAGTCTCGGTCATACAATGATCAAACACCTTTCCCTTCACCAGTACTCATTTTTCACCACCAAGAACCCCAATATACCCCCCCTCCCTTACTGCTTTATTAAAAAAAAAATCTGCATCTGGGGCCAGAGAGACAGCACAGTGAGGAGAGCACTAATCTTCCACGTGGCTGAGCTAGGTTTGATCCCCAGCATCCCATATGGGCCCCCAAGCCCTGCCAGAAGTGATCCCTGAGCACAGATCCAGGAATCAACCCTGAGGACCCCCCCCCCCGCAAAAAAAAAGAATCACGTGTTCAAGAGAAAGACCCTATGCGTAGTTTTATTTTCTTATCATTTTCCCTTGTCAGGTTAAAGCAGGACTCAAAATGTTTCTCTACTGAAAGCCGCAAAATAGTGGTTGTAACAGTAGCCCGACAGGAATAGTAATAGTAGTAATTTTAGTAGCAATAACAGTAGCGGCTGGTGCTGGCTACATTAGCAGCAAGCAGCTCTACTTACTGCTGAACTTCATCCCTAACCCCCAGGTTGGCATTATTTACTTCTTAAATATTCACTGTATCGCTGTCATCCTGTTGTTCATCAATTGCCTCAAGCAGGCCCTAGTAACATCTCCTCCATCCTAGCTCTGAGATTTTAAAAAACCGCCACATTCGAGGCTCTTTCAGGGTCAGGAGAATGAGACCCATCATTGTTACTGGTTTTTGGCATAGTGAGTATGGCACGGGGAGTTTGCCAGACTCTGCCGTGTGGGTGGGATACTTTTGGTAGCCTGCCAGGTTCTCCAGAGTAAGAACTTGATAATAAGATAGATGTCCGGGAGCCGGGTTTTATAGTCTCTGGGTCTTGGCCATTGATGGGATTACACTGCACCCGGGGGCAGTTGATGGGTGTAATGCCTACATACTGGAAGATGGGGGATCTGGGTGGAGGAGGCCCAGTCCCGATCCGAGCAGGCTTGGAGATCTACATCCCGGGTCCCGCACACCTGGGTTCCTCTGCCGGTTCCTTCATGTGTGAGGCTCGTCTGAACGTGTGGAGAGTAGTCTTAAGCATGGCTGTGGCTGGAACCGGAGGTCTTCAGCTGCCGGGGCTCTGCTCGGGGTGGGGAGGGAAACTCAACCCACCCTCCTCCAAGGGGCCCAGGTGAGGACAGCCAGGCGTGGAGGCAGGAGACTCTGCGGGAAAGGTGGCTGGGGGCGGAGGGGGGGCTGGCCCTCTCGGGGGTCGGGTCCCACCTCCCCGAGTGTTACAGCCCCCCGGCAAGACCACTTCTTAAATATTAGATTAGAGTTTTCCAATGAGAAGTTGCCTTTCCAGCACAAGAGTATGACTCCCCCCGGAACACCATGGGGCGGGGCCCAGCTCCTCCCAAGTGACTGGTGCAAGTAGGGATATAGCTTGGAGCTTGAGACCCCGACTTTGATCCCCCGCTCTGCCCCACACAAGTGCCCCCCAGCACAGGGTTCCTTGTGCAGCACCTCAGCCAACATGCAAGGGCCAGCAGGAAACAGCCAAGGAAGGAAATGGGATGAACAGTGAATATCTGAATTACTAGGGCAGCCAACCGGAACTTGCTCATAGGGAGTTTTTTTTTTTTTTTTATGTGTTTACTTTGATTCTGTTGAGACGGAAGCGGTCATTGAAGCCCTAGCCAATCAGGGCATTCAAGCCCAATACATCAAGATCCTCCGTGAGCTGTATTGCGGATTCACTACCAGGATCTCACCATTCTACAAAGAAGTGATCGTTGATGTCAAGAGAGGGGTGCGGCAGGGTGATACCATTTCACCGAAACTCTTCAGTGCCACCCTCGAGAACATCATGCGACGACTGGAATGGGAAGGAATGGGAGTGAAGATAGATGGTCGGCAACTACACCACCTCCGCTTTGCTGATGACATTGTTTTAATAACACCAAACATCAGCCAAGCGGCACAAATGCTGGCCGACTTTGACCGTGAGTGTGGAAAGGTAGGACTACAGCTGAATCTTATGAAGACAATGTTTATGAGAAACAGCCTCGTTCCTGACGCCCCATTCGCTCTCAATGGAACAACCATCTCCGAATGCAACAGCTATGTGTACCTAGGTCGAGAGGTCAACATGACAAATGACCTGGCACCCGAGCTGCACAGGAGGAAGAGAGCAGCTTGGAAAGCCTTCAAGAACGTCGAAGAAATAGCTAAGAGGACGAAGAACCTCCGGCTCCGGGCACATCTCTTTGATTCCACTGTTCTTCCTGCATTAACATATGCCTCAGAGACCTGGGCCCTACGCAAACAGGATGAGAACGCTATTCAGGTCTCCCAAAGAAGAACAGAAAGAGCTACGCTTGGAATATCACGGTTCACTCAAATGAGAGAAAAAATCCGGAGTTCCGACATCCGTCGATGATCAAGAATCAGGGACACTGTCTCATTTGCCAAGGTGTCGAAAATCAGATGGGCTGGTCACGTAATGAGATTTAAAGACGACCCCTGGACTAGAGCTGTTATCGACTGGATTCCACGGGATGTCAAAAGACCGCGTGGCCGCCCACCTACCAGATGGTCAGACTTCTTCGTCAAGATCATGAATGATCGGTTTGAGGCTCTTCATGTTCCCGGAGCCAACAGATGCCATTGGGCTACACTAGCACACGACAGGGACAAATGGAGACGTTACTGGCGTCCGCTCGAGCAAATCGATGACTAACAGGAAGTTAAGTGATTAAGTGTTTACTTATTTGTTTTTTTGGTTTTTAGGCCACACCCGGTGATGTTCAGAGATTACTCCTGGCCCTGTGCTCAGGGATGACTCCTGGACGGTGCTGAGGGGACTATTTGGGTATTGAACCCTGTTGCACCTGGGTCGGCCGTGTGCAAGACAAGTGTCCTCCCCACTGCACTATTGCCTCAGCCCCCATTTCTTTTTATTGTTGTTGTTTCGGGTTCTGTTGGTGGTGTTATTGTTTTGTTTGGGCCATACCTGGCAGTGTTCGAGTCTTACTCCTGTATCTGAGCTCAGGGATCACTCCTGGTTGGGTCTGGGGGACCGTAGGGGGTGTTGGGACTTGAACCCAGGTCAGTAACATGCAAGGCAGACACCCTTCCCACTGTGCTACTATCCTATCTCTTTATCCCCTTTCTTTCTTTTTTTAATTTTTTTTAAGGCCACACCTAGTGATGCTCAGGGGTTACTCCTGACTCTGTACTCAGGAATCACTGCTGGCAATGCTCAGGGGACCAGAGGGGGTGCTGGGAATCGAACCCAGGTTGGCCGCGTGCAAGGCAAACACCCACCTGCTATGTTTTCTCTCCAGCCCCACATTTTTGTTTTTTTGCTTTTGGCCTCCAGTGGCAGTGCTCAGGCACACCTATCGTATTTCTAGACCCCACGAGTCCATTCCCATGAGAACATCTGAGAACGCTCACAGTTTCCTCCACCAAACTGGACGAGCTTTCCAGAAGACTCACTCGGCCTCTACCCCTGTCTTCAGTAGAAGGAAACACCCAGCCGAGAGCATGGAAATAAAAGAGAGGAGCGAGGCCCGAGGAACCGGCTGCAGGGGCTGAGACTGCGGGACCCCGCCTCTCCTCACCTCTGCCTGACACCAGGGTCCAGGCCGAACTCGATCCAGCAGGACACGCTCGCCTTGTAGCTGAGGTCAGAGACACAGCAGGCGGGACTGCAGGGTTAGGAGGGGACATGTGGGACTGGAACCACAGGACAGCTGGGAGGGCACCTGTCTTGCTTGAGGCCAACCTGGGTTCGATTCCTGGCACCCCATATGGCCCTCTGAGCACCACTAGGAGTAATTCCTGAGTGCAGAGCCAGGAGGAACCCCAAGCATCGCAGGTGTGACATCCACACCTTCCTTGCAAGCGTAAGGCCATAAGTTTGAGCCCCAGCGCTGCCCACCTGCACCGAGCATGATCCCAGCAGCTCAGCTCTGTGGGACGCCCGGTGCTCCCAGCCCCTGACGTCTCCGGCACACAGCTGAGCATGCGTAAGCATTGCAAGTGGGGTGTGCAAGCCCTCCCCCCTGTGAGCAGCCCAAGTAAAGAGGTATGAGCACTGCAGTCAGAAGTCAGCTCCCAGCAAGCACGACCACCAGAACCTGTGCAAGTGTGGACCCCAGGGACTGTGCAGGCCGGCACAGTGATCCCCCTAGGACAGCTTGGTCAGGTGTGTGAGCAGCACAAGCAGATGCCAACCATCCCCCCCACCCAGTCACAGCCCCCAGGCACCCCGCAGCAGGAAAGGGAAGGAGTAGAGTAAGGTACACGGTGCCCAGGGACCCTACCTCAGTGTCCTGGGCGTAGGCAGAGCACAGGAATGGTATAAACCCGCTGCTGCTAAGGTGGGTCCCAACCCTGGGGTTGCCACAGTCATGGAGCTGCCCCGGGGCTTAGCAGGGGCCAGTGACAAGCTGGAGAAGGTGGGATGCCACAGCAGCTCGGGCAGCACAAGGCAGCTCCACAGAGAGCAGGACCACTCGCTCGGCAGCGCGTCCTGGGCAGCCTGGGACGATAGGCAGAGAGACACGGAGGCAGCTGCCAAGAGAACGGACACTGGCAGCCAGGCTGGGAGCATCCAGGGGAGCCCGCCCCCTTGGCGCCTGTCAGGGGCAGCCTTGCAAGTGTCTTACGCATGCTCGGCTATGTGCTGGAGACTTCAGGGGCTGGGAGCACTGGGCTTCCCACACAGCTGAGCTGCTGGGATCATGCTCGGTGCAGGCGGGCAGCGCTGGGGCTCAAACTCATGACTTCACGCTTGCAAGGAAGGTGGTGATGTCACACCCCACAATGCTCAGGGTTCCTCCTGGCTCTGCACTTAGGAATTATTCCTGGTGGTGCTCAGAGCACTATATGGGGTGCTGGGGATCAAACTTCCAGTCCTATGTGTCCCCTCCTAACCCTGCAGTCCCTCCTGCCGTGTCTTTGATCTCAGAGACACTGGGGTCCCCCGGGCAGAGGAAGCAGAAGCTGCAAGCACCAAGGGATGCCTGAGGGTCCCCAAAGGAGCCTTGGGTGCGTTTGGAGTCTGTGCCCGGGAGTGGGGGGGGTGCAGACATGTGGGACTCTAGGAGGGGGACCATGGAGGGGTCCGGGTTCACTCTGATCTTCAGGGCTCTGAAGGGGCTTCACATGTCCCCCCACCCCCCAAAAGAGCACGGACAGATGGAGCCTTCTAGGGAAAGGGGGTGCCAGGCCCACTTTCCATATGGCACCTGGGCAAGCTGCCTCTGGCCGTGTTGGGGCCCCAAGTGTGTGGCTGGAACAGGGGACTCGATCTTGGCACAAAGGGGTGGTGGGGAAGCCAGAGTACAGGGAAGGCATTTGCCCTGCACGCAACCAACCCAGGTTCGATCCCTGGCTTCCCATAGGGTCCCCCGAGCAGCGTCAGGAGTAACTCCTGAGTGCAGAGCCGGGGGTCAGCCCTGAACATCAGTGCGTATGATGCAAAACTCAACAAAACAGCCAAACAGAGCTGCTGGGCCCCAACAGCACCATATCCCCGGGTCTGAGCATGGAACCTTGCAGACGACTGCTCTGAGTCCTGTCACAAGTGGCCCCAGGCCTGGAGCACCACTAGGGAGTCATCCCCACTCCCCCAAACACACAAAAGAAGCCGCAGACTGGGCCCTCCCTGGGAGCACCTCTAGGTGGGCGTCGGCCAGACTGACCCCTCCATTCCCAGATTCTCACACTGAATCCAGTCAGCTTCCTGCTGCCTTCAAGGGCCTGGAGCCTGGGCCCACCTGCTTCAGGGCCTCTGGCCTTTGGGGTCTCTGAACACTTGCTTCAGAGCCCAGGATGTGGCTTCAATGCATGGGTAGGCAGTTTTGTTGGTTTGTTTTTCCTTTTTGGGTCACACCCAGCCATGCATAGGATAACTCCTGGCTCTGCACTCAGGAATTACTCCTGGTGGTACTCAGGGGACCCTCTGGGATGCTGGGCATCAAACCCAGGTCGGCCACGTGCAAGGCAAACGCCCTCCCCACTGTACTATCGCTCTGGCCCCTCGGGTAGGCATTTGAGGCATTTCTCTCTGCCAGGGATGGCCCTGTGCCCACACTTGCTTATGAGCAGATTTTTTTGTGTGTGTTTTTTTTTTTTGTCATCCTACAGTTTTATTTACACAGCCAGTGGAGTGTAATGCCAGCTCTAATCCTTTTCAAACATATCAATGTAAGAAGGCAAATTGTAATGACACAGCAAACAAGGCCACTGGTGTTTATACAGGTAGCAAAGGTCCACATCCGGGCGATGCTGACATCAGAGAAACTTCCAAAACCAGTGGCTGCTAAGAGCGGTTGCCACCGACGAAGCTTGAAACCACTTGTTATTCCTCGGGGGTCCGGGCAGCTCATACACACCCCGGCAGGTCACATCCTGTCTGAGATTTATCTGCAATGTCATCGTTCCGGGGGGTCCCAGACAACTGATGTGCAGGGGGGCCCCCGGGAATCAGACTCAGGGGCTTGGAGCAGGAGGGAAAGTTTGGTGAGCAGGGGATCTGCCTTGCACGTGGCCACCCTGGGCTTGGACCCAACACTCTGTAGGGTCCCCCGAGCCCCGAGTGAGTCCTGAGTACCGCCGGATGTGGCCCCCAAAACAGTAACCAAAAGCTCAGGTCCTCATGACCCCTCATCAAACCCGGGTCAGCTGCATGCAAGGCCTTCCTCAGCCCTCCCTGCCGTTGCTACTGCCTCTAAAATGGGGACAGCTGGCAGCGAGCACAGGTCAGCTTGGGGGTCCTTTCATCGCCCCCAGAGAGGGGAAACAAACCAACCCCCAAAGCCGAGTCCACCCACGAGCCGCCTGGCCCTGATCTCTGCTGCCCCCTCGTGGATTCTGGGTGTCAAGACCCTAATGTGAGTGCCTCGGGCCTCTGAAACCACTCAGGATTTGAACTAGGTTTGGTGGCTCAGGTGTCCCCCCGCCTCTGAACCCCAAGTGACAACAGCTGCTCACTGGAACCGTCGCTGGGAAGCCGCATCCCCTCGCTGTGGCCGGCTGAGCTCTGCAGGACCGTCAGCCACAGCAGACACCCAGGCCGCCAGTTGGTTCCCTGGGCAGCATTGGGGGCTAGGGGGAGGACACAGGGCAGGGCTAGGGCCACTCCCCCTGTGTCCAGGGTCACTCCCTGCTGTGCTCGGAGAATCCTACAGTGTCCAGGACCCAAACCCAGCTCCCGCCCAGGTCCCACAGTGCCCAAGTTTCTGCCCACATTTCTGTCCCGACAGCTGCTCTTCTCTCTTGGTCTTGGATTGGGGGCCACACCCAGTGGTGCTCAGGGCTGACTCCCAGATTTGTGCTCAGGGACCACTCCCGGCAGGGCCTAGGGAACCATATGGGGTGCCAGGGATTGAACCCGGGTCAGCCGCATGAAAGGCCAGCGCCCTCCCACCCTTTCTCTCCAGTTTTATTTTTTTCTCCTGGTTTTATTTTTTCTTTTTGGGTCACATCTGGCGATGCACAGGGGTCACTCCTGGCTCTGCACTCAGGAATTACCCCTTGGCAGTGCTCAGGGGACCATATGGGATGCTGGGAATCGAGCCCAGGTCAGCCGCATGCAAGGCAAAAGCCGCATGCAAGGCCCTCCCCGCTGTGCTATCGCTCCAGCCCCTCCAACCCATGCTGATCCATGCTCACAGGCAGAGCTTTCCTCTCTGGGGGACAGAGGGGCCAGTCAGCTGGACACCCTGGAAGGTTGTTTCGGCAGGGGCGACCCAGACAGCCCAGGGCTCCGGCCGTGAGGGTCATGAAATGCCTGTGACCACCCATGAGACACCATCATGGACCAGCTGGCCCTTGGGAGGGGAGAAGCAGGAGACGCCCCTCTGGGTAACACAGTCCCCTCCTATCTGTGCTCACCTAAGGCCACCAGACACTAAGGTCACCCAGGCGGCAGCCAGGAGGTTTCCACAGACGCCCCGTGGAGGAGGGTGCTGGCCTCAATTCCACAAACCCAGCTTGCGTGGGACCAGCCCATGTTTGGGGCAGGGTGGCACACGGCCCTGCTGGGAAGCTGGCTCCCTGCCTGGAGCCAGTACCGCTCTGCCAGGCCAGCCAGCTGCCAGTTCAACCTCCCATGAGTGGACCCGGAGAGGTGTGCCCAAGTGCACACCCCCTTCCCCAGCGGGCATGACTCACTGGACATGGGCACAGTGCTTCTGAGCAAGAGACAGACATCGTTGGAAGTGGGGCTCCCCAGATAAGCTCCCCTAAGTTGCAACTGTGCATCCCGAAGGGACCCTGGCCCCTGACCCTCTCCCGCTGGTTGGACCCGTGTTCTCTGCCATTGCCCCTCCACTGCTCTAGAAAGCCCCCCTGCCCCCCGCACTCCATCCTGCCCCTGCGACTGCTGAAGCTGTGAGTGGGTGGGCCGGGCGCACTGCCCACTGTCCCTGCAGTCTGACCACCAGCCACACGCCACTGGCGGCGGGCGCTGTCCCTGCGTCAGGCATGGTTTCTCTCTGTGTATGAAATCACAGAAAAACACAGGTGGGTAACAGCAGAAAAGGTTCTTGGCACGGTGGAAATTGGCAGTTTGGTCCGAGGAGCTTGGGGGAGCTGCGGCTGTCGGTGGCGGGGGTGGGGGGGACATGAAGCAGGAGGTGGGATCGGGGAAGTGTGAGCGGGGACACTCATGAAGTGCTCACGGGAAATCCAGGACTCGCCACCAGTCTGGCTCCGCAGAAGACACTGAGCAACCCTGCAGAACTAGATGAACCGACGAGTGAGGACGCAGGAGAAATCCACCGGGGCAGACGGAACCCCGAAGCAGCCAGAAGAAAGCCAAGAAACGGGTCCCCAGCCCGCAGCATGGGGGACAGCCGGGGGGACTGCCCTCTGCTCGCCAAGCTCCCCCCACTCAACCGGGAAACAGAGAGACAAAGGGACTTGGGGGGCTCAGGGTGAAGCCAGGCTGTCTGGGGGTCAGCGCGGTCACTTACATCACCACGCGGGCAGGACTGCCCCTTCCGCCCCACCGAACTAGGATGGACAGCAAAGCCTTATGGGGACTCAGGCAGGGGGTCTGTCCACAGCCCCCTCCCATCTCGCCACAACCTGCGTCTGCCAGGTCAGGGCTCTGTCCACTGGGTTCACAGGCGTGAGACCTGCGCGGCCATCAGTGTTTTGAGCCCTCAGCTGAGCACAACCTGTGAGGCTGGGGAGAGGGGGAGGAGCCCCCCACAGAGTCCTCAAAAAGGGTCCCCGTGGTTGGCAGGGGCACGGACTCTCGCTCCGGAGGCTTCCAAGGCTGGGGCAGAAGAAGAAAGGGGTCTGGGCTGCTTCTGAGCCGGCAGCCCCCCAAGACTTCCACGGCACCCCCCTCTCTGCTCCTCCAAAGCAACACACTTCGTGGGGTGCTCCGCAGGCCCCTCCCTCCTCCTGCCCCTCACCCTCCTCACACTGGGAGACCCCCAAGGCCAGAACCCTGCCGCCTCTCAGTCTTGGTGGCCTGTGGCAGGAGAGCCGGGCATGGAGAGGACCGTCCCCTGCCAGAGCCATCGGGCGTGGCACCTGTGCCCGGTGGTACCCAAACAGGGCAGGCGGGAAGCGACCTTGCCCCAGGTGGCCGCACCTGCTCAGGTGAGCTGCATCTGGCCCAGCTCGCGGCCTGGGCAGCTGTGTGTGTGGTCAGTCCCCACTGCCAGCAGCTGGGTGGGGCGTGGGCTCGTCCTGACCCTGCGCCCTGGGGACACCTGGCCTTCCTCCACTGTCCACACTCCCTCGGCCGCCGCCCTCGGAGGTGAGGCAGGTCCTCCCCCTTTTATGCCCTGCCGCGCAGACCAACCCCCCAACATCCTGCTTCCAGCCTCGATGCGGAGCTGGGCTACTGCGTTTATGTTGGGGACAGGCCTGGCCTCCACCACCAGTTTCCTCGGTGGCCAGGCCCCCAGGGCCGTCGCGGGGCTGTAGAGGGGGCAAGGTCGTGATCCGGACGCGAGGCTACCAGGGCCGCCAGAGGCAGGGCTGGGCGGGCGGGCCGGGCGGTGCGGGGGCGGGCACATCGCGGGGGACCCCCGTGAGCTTGCCGTCGGGGGTGGCGCGGGTCGCACTCAGCTGCAGGTGCTCCAGCAGGCGCGCGCTCGCGGCGGGCTCTAGGACGCGGCGGGTCCACAGCAAGCGGCTCAGGCGCGCCAGGCAAGCGCGATAGCCCTCGCGGTAGCCGTCGGGGGACGCTGAGGCGGGGAGGGGAGGAGAAGGACGTGAAGGACATGAAGCGCCGGGGCCGCGCCAGGGCAGGGTGGGCGGGGCGCGCTCACTCACCGGGCGCCGCAGCGGGGCCGGGGGCCGCGGACAGCCCCCGCAGGAAGCGCACGGTCATTTCCAGGACGTCGGCCTTGTCCAGCTTCGAGGGGCGGGAGTCGAGCCCTCGGCCGCAGGGAGAGAGAGAGAGGCGGGGACGCATCCCCGCAGGCTGCCGGCACCACGCGCCCCTCACTGCGGCGGGGAGCCAGGGGCCGGGTACCGGGGACACTTCCGCGGGGGCGCCCCTGCCGGCCGGCCTCACCTCCCGCGGCCCGAGGAGTCCCCGGAGCCGGCTCAGGCTCTCGTTGATGCGCGCGCGCCGTCGCCTCTCCAGCAGCGGCTTCAGGTTCTGGGGAGGGGGCGGGGGGCGCAGAGGACGCGCGTGGTTACGCGGGACGCACCGTCCACCACGACAGGCCTCCCGGACCCCAGCCCCCAGGCCCCGGATCCTACCTTGCGGAGCTCCGCCCGATCTCCCGCCCTCGGAGGCAGTCCCATGGTCCTGCTGGACGCGGCGGGAAGGCAATGCGCCCCGCGGGCTGCCGACTTTAAGGCTCTGCGTAGCTCGCCCCGCCCCGCCCCGCCCCGCGGAGTCCACCCAAGCGCAGGTTGTTCCAGCGCAGTCCAGGGCGCGAGGCGGGGCTGGCCGAACCCCCAAATCCCGCTCCGGGCCTTCTCTTCCCTTCTGCGAGCCCAGGGCACCCCGCGTCTGCAGGAGTGTGGGTGTGTGTGTGGTGGGGGACGGTGGGAGCCGTGGATGTGCCCTGAGCTCACGGACAGGAGAGCCGAGGGTGGACGTTTGGCCCCGCCTCCGGCCCGCCCTCCTTCATTCATTCCGAACCCCACCCCCTTGCGGTTCGGGACGCAGGACTCGAGGCGGCCTTTCACTCCCCAGCGCCGGGAGGGCTCAGCTCCTGCGGCTCACGCCACTGGCCGTCAGAACACAACAGTACTAGGCCTGGACGTCCGGGGCTCCAGGGACCCCGCAAACTCGCGCTCCAGCGGTCCCCTGCGCCTATGTTTTGTTTGGCGGTCGCCAGGGACCACACGGGACGCCGGGGAGGCGAGCGCCCTCCCCGCTGGACTGTCGCTCCGGCCCCTGCGCCCGAGTTTTGCACCGGGAAACTGAAGCCCAGAGAAGCCGAGGCCGGCCAGGCGACCCCAGCCCGTGCTCCAGCTCCCGAGTGGGAAACTCCTGCGCCCCGCGGGCGGCGCGGGGCGGGTCACCAAGCAGCATCCGGGCCCGCCCCGCCCCCCGCGCCCTGGGACCGCCTTCGACGCGTGGCGGTTGCTGCAAGAAGCTGGCGGGGCGTCCCCCGCCCATCTGCTAGGAGCTACCCGCCCCCAAAGGACCGCGGGGGCAACCGCCAGCAGGCCAGTGCCGGTATCGAAAACTGGACCCTACAGCAGTGGCGGGGGGGGGGGGGGGGGGGGGGGGGAGGGCGCTGACGCTGTCCAGGGTGCTGGAAGGCCTCCGTGTGCACCCCCAGGCCCCTCCCCTGACCCTCCCCCGTTGCTTGAACGCAGTCTTCTGGGACGGAAGGGGCAGCCTGGGGGCGATGCTGGACCTGTCCCCAGTGACAGCCGCCGGCTTCCCCCAGATCTCACAGTAGTCCTATTTCTGAGGATAAGTTACGCCACGCAGTGTGGGCACAGATCCTGGGGTGTCCCTGTCCCCCTTGACATGCTAATCCCAGGGCAACTATTACTCCAAAGGAATTAGCATTAAAAGAAATTTCTGTCAGCAATAGAAAACAAATTGTCTACTGTTGCCTTTTCAGCAGATCTGAGTGTTGGGGTAAAATCCCAAATAATAATGGTGGGTCTGGTGTCAAAATATTGAATGTGATCAAAGTAGAGAGAGAGTAATGCGGAAATCATCTGCCCCACAGGTAGGGGGAGGGTGTAGGATGGGGGGTCTACTGGGGCTTTTGGTGGTGGAGAATGGGCACTGGTGAAGGTACGGGTGCTTCATTGTATAACCGAGACTTAGACCCAAAGGCCCTCCCGTTAGATCATCGATTTGCTCGAGCGGGCCCAGTAACGTCTCCATTGGAGACTTTGTTGTTACTGTGTTTGGCATATCGAATACTCTCGGTAGCTTGCCGGGCTCTCCGAGAGGGGCGGAGGAATCGAACTCGGGTCGGCCATGTTGGCTGCGTGCAAGGCAGACGCCCTACCCGCTGTGCTATCGCTCCCGCCCAAAAGCTTTGTAACTGTTCTCACGGTGATTCAATAAATAAAATTATAAAAAATGAAAAAAAAAGTAAGGTGGAGTTTATGCCCAATTCTATCAGCTAATCAGTGGCTGAATAAATAGCAGTACTCCTACATAAAAAAAAAAAAATTTTGGTCGAGCTGGAGTGATAACACAGTGGATAGGGCGTTCACCTTGCACACGGCCAACCTGGGTTCAATTCCCAGCATCCCATATGATCCCTGAACACCACCAGGAGTAATTCCTGAGTTGCAGAGCCAGGAGTAACCCCTGTGCATCGCTGGGTGTGACCCAAAAAGAAAAAAAATTAAAAAATAGAATAGGTCACTTCCTGCTGTGTTCCAGGCTTACTCCTGGGAGACTCAGGGACCCAGGAGGGATGCGGGGGTTCTACCAAGGTCAGAGCCTGCCAGGCAAGTACCCTCCCGGCTGTCCCATCTCTCAGCCTCCTCTCTTTTGTTTGCTCCTGGGACACCCCCAGCCGTGCTCGGGAGTCATTCCCACTTGATGCTAGGGACCCGCTGTCAGGCGTGCGATGTCAGGGATTGAATCTGGGTGTCCTGATGCAAAGCCGCACGCCAGCTCACGGAGCCCTCCCCCGACCCTGATTTCAATAACTGATTTCTCATTAATTAAGTAGTTGGAGGGGGTGTTCGGCGATGCTTGAAGCCCGCGGTTCCGGCTTGCTCAGGCATGAAGCAGCCCCGTGCACGGCAGTGGTGGGTCTCCTCAGCCGTCTCTCCAGCCCACCAGTGACAGATTCCTTCAGGGCTCAGAAAAGAATGTTGTGGTCACTCATTGAGGTCCTTCCCCACTCACCCGCCAACGCCATGTGCCCACATGTCCCCCTGCCCTGCCTCTGAATCCTGCATGGTCCCCAGCACCAGCTTCATCTCCAAGACCACCCCCAGGCCTCAGGACGCCCCTTGGGAGACTCAAAGGCCAGGAAACTGGTCACCCCAGACTGTAACTCTCTCCTGTGCTGTCAAGGACTGGCTGTTCCCTTCAGATTTGGGTTTCAGATTTGGATTTTTTTTTGAGAGATGGCTCTGTGTTTTCAGTTTGTTTTGCTCTGTTTTGGATCACACCCGGCGATGCTCAGGGGTCCCTCCTGGCTCTAGACTCAGGAATCATTCCTGTGGGGCTGGAGCGATAGCACAGCGGGGAGGGCGACCCGTGTTGCATGCGGCCGACCCGAGTTCAATTCCCAGGATACCCTATGGTCCCCCGAGAACAGCCAGGAGTAATTCCTGAGTGCATGAGCCAGGAGTAACCCCTATGCATTGCCAGGTGTAACCCCCCAAAAAAGAAAAAAAAAGGAATCACTCCTGGTGGTGCTTGGGGGACCCTATGGTAAGCCAGGGATGGAACTCGTTGAAGGCAAACGCCCTCCCCGCTGCATTCTGCTCTGCTCCAGAGACACCTCTGTGATAGTGAGGGGTCCCAGGCTGCAGAAGCACCCCAGACTCCCTGTTGCAGGGGTTTTATTCCAGAGAAAGCCAGGTTTTTGCACTTTTCCGGCTCACTATTGCTCAGGCATCCGCCAAGGCTGCTGGGTGAGCGAGAGGACGTAGGGAACAGCTGCGGCCCAAAGGCCCCAGGTAACACTCCTCTGGAGACCCCTGGAGGGGTCCCAGTAGCCTCAGGTCCCAGGATGGCAGAGATGTCCAGTGAGGTGTGCGCCACCAGGGGGCGCCTCGATGGTCGCGGCTGGGCCCCTCGCAGTAGTGCTCAGGCCTTGCTCCTGATCAGTGCTCAGGAATCGCTCTTGGCATCATGTGCTGGGGGATGACACGCGGGCGTGGGGGATCGAGCCGAGTGACCGCGTCCACGTGCCTTCCCCGCTGCGCTATCTCTCCCGCCCCGGGACCTGGCTGTTCTGGAAGAAATTTCGTTTCGCTTCGGTGGCTGCCCTGCGCGGGCGGGCGGGATGAGGCACAGGGTGCACCGGCCAGCACGGGGTGCCCAGCGCAGCAACAGAGCGTGGGGGGCGCGGGAACAGAGCGGCTGCTTCAAGGTTGCTGGAGGCGCTGGCTGCGCGCCCAGCCTCACCCGCTCCCGGCAGCAGCCACAGGGTCCAGCGCCCGCGCCTCCTGCGCGCCCCCGCGGGTCCCCCCCACCCCACTTAGGGGGCTTGGGCCACGCGTGTGCCCGGTCCACGCCTTCCCGGGGCCGCCCGCCGCCTGGACCAGGGGTCCTGACAATCCCCCATGCCCCCAGCCAGTCCTGCCCTGTTCAGAGCCCCGGGGAACCCTCTGTGGTGTGGGGGCTCGAACCCGGGTCAGCCGCGCCCAGGCAAGCGCCCTTCTCCTGTACTAAGAGCTCAAGGATGACTCCGCGCCGTTGCCTGGCCTCTCTGGGTCTTTGCTGAGCCGCAGCCTCCGCGCGCAGAGACCCGCGCACCCCAGGCACCCCCGAGCTAGCTCCCAGGGCAGGTTTTGGGGTGCAGAGGGTCCCAGGTTGGAGGAGGGCACGCCCAGGGGCAATAAGACCCGCCAGGCCTCTTTCTGCTGTAGAGCCTTTGTCCTTGCAGGGTCTCCTGCCTGGGACACCCCCTTCTTATTTGGGGAGGGGGCTGGAATGGAAGCCAGGGCGGCCCCCCCGCAAGGCACGTCCCTGCTCCAGCTCAGGAGACGCGTCAGTTCGTCCAGGGACGGCGATTTAGGCGAGAAACGCTGGCGACCGCGGGCCCGGGGGCGGGGCGGGCCGGGGCGGGCCGGGGCGGGCCGGGGCGGGCCCGACGGTTAAGCCGAGCGCCCGCGGGTCCCCGCCCAGAGCGCGGAGCAGAGCCCAGCGGTCCAGCCGCTCCCCGACGCGCCGCGCCCCGACGGCCACGCCGCCCGCGGTCGCAGCAGCTCCGGGACACGCGTATGGGGCCCCGGGGGACGCGCTGAGCGCGGGGGACGGGCCCCGGCCGTACCATGGCCCTGGAGCAGGCGCTGCAAGCGGCGCGGCTGGGCGAGCTGGACGTGCTCCGGTCCCTGCACGCCGCCGGCCTGCTGGCGCCCTCGCTGCGGGACCCGCTGGACGCGCTCCCCGTGCACCACGCGGCCCGCGCCGGCAAGCTCCACTGCCTGCGCTTCCTGGTGGAGGAGGCCGCCCTGCCCGCCGCGGCCCGCGCGCGCAACGGCGCCACGCCGGCCCACGACGCGGCCGCCACCGGCCACCTGTCCTGTCTGCAGTGGCTGCTCTCGGCCGGCCGCTGCTGCGTGCAGGTGAGTCCGCGCTCCGGGGAGCCCCCTGCCTTCCCGGGGTGGGGGTGGGGGACAGCGCTGGCCCCCAGCCCCCTGTTCCGTGGCTCCAGGGCTGGTGGGGTTGGGCACCCCCCCACCGAGCCCCCCACTCTGGGGGTTTGTGGCGTCTGTGTGGGGTGGGTTGAGGGTACTCAGATGACTCTGGCCAGTGCTCGCAGGAGGACCTGGACTGGGGAGGAGAGGGGCTGAACCGGAGAGCGAGGGAGCACTGAGCATTGAGTCCGGAAGTGGTGGGAGGGTACGCAGAGTCTGAGCACTTGGCGGCTGCCCAGACTGGTGAGAAATGGAGGGTTTGGGGAGGAGGGGGGAGACTCCCCTGGGCCTGAGCTGACCCTGGGCGGGGCATTTTGTGGACCCCCAGTTCCCATGGATTCTTCAGCTCCGCCTAATCTTGTTGGGCGAGACCCCCACTCACTCACCCAGTGCTCCCTGGCTGGTCTCACATCTCAGGATCAGAAGTTCTTTTCTTTCTTTTTTTTTTTTGCTTTTTGGGTCACATCCGGCGATGCACAGGGGCTACTCCTGGCTCATGCACTCAGGAATTACTCCTGGCAGTACTCGGGGGTCCATGTGGGATGCTGGGAATCAAACCCGGGTTGGTCGCGTGCAAGGCAAATGCCCTAGCCGCTGTGCTATCACTCCAGCCTCCAGAATCAGAAGTTCTTTGTAGGCTGAGAAGCAAACCAGGGACACGGGTCCCACTGGGCCCTTGGAGTAGGGTGTGTTGGGACCTGGCCGTGGAGGACCCTCAGAGGTGGGATCCTGGCCACCAAGGAGGAGGCAACCAGCCTTGCAAGAGAGGGCTGGCATTGGCACAGGGAGACTGGACGGGGCAGTGTCCCCTCTCCCCCCCCCCCCCCCGCCCCCAGCTGGCCAGTCCTGGCCCTCTCCCTCAGGGTTCAGGCTGTATCTGCAGGCAGGGTGCTATCTGGGCACGCCCACTGGGCCCTGCGGGGGAGTGGGCCGCATCCCGGCAGGCCACTGTCCAGCCTTGGCCAAGCCGGTCCGCCTCTGCAGGGGAGCTGGAGATTATCAGGTGCCCGCCGGGCTGACAGGGGCGGGGGGGGGGGGGGGCGGCGGGGGGTCGCCCTGGATCCCAGCCACTCAGCCTGCAGAGATAAGCGGCCGGGTACGGCCTCAGCACTCGCCTCCCTGGCCTTCAGAGCCGCCTCGGGACAGGAAGCCCACCCGAGACCAGGCCAGCAGAACCCCAGGGCCGACTTCCCTGGGCCCTGAGTCCCCGCCAGGCTCTGGCTCAGACGACCCGATTCCAGCCCCAGCCGCCCGTGATCCTCAGCATGCAGGAGGGCCCGCGCCCACCCCTTATCCCGGCTTCTCTCCTGCATCTTGCACCTCCAAGGTCCAGCTGCCCCTCTTCCTTGCCCTGAGCCTCTCGCGCCCCCGCAGTGCCCAGGGGCAGTGGCCATGCATGGCCAGCAGGCCGGACCACCTCTCCTGCCGCCCTGGGGCTAGGCTGACTGATTCTCTTCAGCTCTCAGACGCCCCCTCCCCCAGCATCTCCCCATCTGGGGACGGCCTTCGTCCATACCCACCACCCTCACTGGCGGCCCGCACCCCACCTCCCAGTGTCTAGAATCTTCCTCTCCCAAGGGGCAAGAACAGGGGACAAGAAACCTCTTTTTAGGCCCAGAGCAATAGCACAGCAGGGAGGGCGTTTGCCTTGCATGCGGCCGACCCAGGTTCGATGCCGGGCATCCCATATGATCCCTTGAGCACCGGCAGGAATGATTCCTGAGTGCAGAGCCAAGAGTGACCCCTAAGCATGGCTGGGTGTGACCCAAACACCAAAAAAAAAGAAAGAAAAGAAAAGAAGCTTGTTTCCTCCATGGCCGGGAGCAGAGGCCTGGGGGGGGACAAGGTCTGGGGGCGGGGCCTGGGGCGAGGCCTGGGGCGGGTCTGGGGGCGGGGCCTGGGGGAGGTTGGGGGGTGTCTACCGGAGAGCAGGGTCTACAGGAGTGGGGAGCGTTAGCCTCCGGCACGTGGTGGGGGTTCAGGCCTGTCCCTTGCAGGGGGAGCCCTGAGCGGAGGGGAGGGACCCGTTGGGCTCAGGTGGTGCCTACAGCCCTGATGTCACCTGGCGAGTCTCCCCCTCAGCCGCCCAGGGTCCCCGCTGCTTGCGGTCCTGAGAGCCTGGCTGGGCGCCTGGCGGGCTTGGGGCGGACGGGACCGTGGGCGTGTGGGACAGCGAGGGCGGCGCTGAGCCAGGCGTCAGGAATCTGACCACTGCCCCCCACAGGACAGAGACAATTCTGGTGCCACAGTTCTGCATCTGGCCGCCCGCTTCGGCCACCCCGAGGTCGTGGACTGGCTGCTGAGACTCGGGGGCGGGGACCCCACCATGGCCACGGACACCGGGGCCCTGGCCATCCACTATGCCGCTGCCAAAGGAGACTTCCCTTCCTTGAGGCTGCTCGTCAGGCACTTCCCCGGGTAAGCGCTGGTCTGCTGCCCCCACCCCCTGCCCAGGCATCCGTGCCATCCTCAGCCGCAGACCCTCCTGGCGGCCCCGTGGCAGGCGCCTGGATTTGGGGGGCCAGGTTCACAGGTCAAGACCACTGAGCCGACTCCTGAGGCCGTGGCAGTGGGGGTGGGGAGACTTCCGCACCACCCCCCTCAGTCCCCAAGCAGCGTGGGGGGCAGGGGGCACTCCAGCCAACCCTGGCCTGCTGTCTGGAGAATGGCCTGGCATTGCCTGTGGCCCCAGCCGCGCTCCCCTGCTGTCGGGGTCCCAGATCTCCCTGGGCCCCCGCCCAAGTGGGCTGGGGAGCAGATCCAGACCCCACAGGCAGTGGACACTGGCCCATGCAGGGATTCCCAGGGCAGAACCACCACCAAGCTCCAGCCTTGTCTCATTCCAGGGGTGGTCCAGCAGGCAGATGGGGGGCTTTGGCTCCGTGGCACCCAGCCAGGGGTCTGGGGTTGGGTTGGTGGGGTCACCTCCCTGCGGGGGGGCATAGGAGCATCTGTGTGTGACCCTCATCCTAGGGAGGCATGTGGGGTAGGCGTCCCCAGAGATCCCACTAGCACCCGGTTCCAGACCCCAACCCCGGATCCCGGTGCCCTGCCCCCAGAGGACAGTGCAGGACTGGAAGGGGCCCGCCTGGCCCCCATCTCATACCCCACAGTGCCAGGCGGTGTTTCTGGAAATGGGCATGTCACCAGTTTCCCCTTAAGGCCAACTTCACTCAGACCCCACCCAGGCCTCAGGGACCCGCCCCCCGCCCAGGCCACTCCAGGTGCTGCTGGGAGGGTCCCCGAGACTGTCCCCCGTGCAGTAGGTACCTTGGGGGGCCGGGGAGGAGGGGCCAGGCCCACAGCACCAGGGGAGGCCGGAAATGGGTGGGTCATGGTGGGCAGGGGGTGTCAGCCCACGGCCACTTGGCCTCTGCCCTTGGGGTGGGGCCTCAGGAGCCCTCAGTGCAGGACCCCAGGATGGTGGCACGATGGGCAGGGTCTGGCTCCCGGCTGTGAGACATCAGGGGGCTCAGGGCCCAGCCTGAGGCTGGCGCTCTCGTGAGCTGCCCCAGCCGGTTGCTGGAGCCCTGAATTATTCACGACTGCTCAGCTGGGGTGGCGGGCAAGGGAGGGCGGGCTCCAGGACCACGGCGAAACCCAATCCCAGCAGCGAGGTGGTGGCGTGGCCGTGGCTGGGCAGGAGAGCTGCCAGGGTGGAGGGGCCAGGTGTGCGGGGGTCGGGGGGGGGGTGTCCTGGAACCATCCCCAGCACCTGGATGTGAGAAAGAACAGGAGCGGCTGGAGCGGGAGCACTGCAGGGCGGGCGCTGACCCGGGTTCCATCCCTGGCAACCACATAAGGTCCCCCGAGCCCTGCCAGGGGTCACCCCTGAGCACAGAGGCAGGAGTCAGCCCTGAGCACTGCCAGGAGTCAGCCCTGAGCACTTCCAAAAGCAAGCAAAAAAAGACAGAAGATGTCAGGAACGTCCTGCACCCCACTTCCCCCGTCTATTTTAGGGGGGCCCTCCTGCAGCCCCCAGGGGAGAGGTAGGGTCCCCAAGCAGGAGCCATCTGGACTGAGCTGTGTTGTGGGTTTTATTTGTTTTGGGGGCCACACCCTGTGGTGCTCAGGGATCACTCCTGCTGGGGCTCGGGCACCCTCAGGGATGCTGAGGACCAAACGCGAACCATCAACATGCAAGGCGCCCTCCCCGGTGGACTATCCTTTCAGTTCCTGGGCTGGATTTATTTTTGGGGGGGTCACACCTGACGATGCACAGGGTTACTCCTGACTCTGCACACAGGAATTACTCCTGGAGGTGCTTGGGGGACCCTATGGGATGCTGGGAATCAAACCCGGGTCAGCCGCATGCAAGGCAAATGCCCACCCCGCTGTGCAATCGCTCCAGCCCTATGGGCTGGATTTTTGAGGGAGATAGAGTTGGAACCGCAGTGACTGGTGGGAGGGAACCGGGGGTCCCCAGCCCCAATTAGGGCCATGAGAAGGGTTTGGAGTTTCCTGCCCACCTGCCCACCCAGCTCAGGCTGGGCAGTACTGAGGGGACCCCCGGAGCAGGCGGCATCGGGGATTGAACCTGGGGCCTCCCATGCAGGCTCTGGTGCCTGAGCCAGCAGAAGGCAAGAAATCCAGGACCCCCTAAGCTCCCTGTGGACCCCCACTGATGCCCCTCCCAGGCAGATGCAGGAAAGTGCCCTGGGGGGCTGGAGCTATAGTACAGTGGGGAGGGCATTTGCCTTGCATGTGGCCAACCTGGGTTCGATTCCCAGCATCCCATAGGGTCCCCTGAGCACCGCCAGGACTGATTCCCAATTGCAGAGCCAGGAGGAACCCCTGTGCATGTGTGATCCAAAAAGCAAAAGGCAAAAACAAAAACTGCCCTGGGCAAGGCAAATGCCCTACCTGCTGTGCTATTGCTGTGCTATTGCTCCAGCCCCTGGGTGTGGGCCCTTTAATTGCTGCAGTCAGGGATCAGGGATGTTGCTCACGGGGAGAGCACAGCCTTGCCTGTGTACGGGCCTGGGTTCAACCCCTGCTCCAGAGGAAACAAATCAATTACGAATTAAAATAGGTCCAGAGGGGCTGGAGTGATAGCACAATGGGTAGGGTGTTTGCCTTGCACGCGGCCAACCCGGGTTCGATTTCCAGCATCCCATATGGTTCCCTGAGCACTGCCAGGAGTGATTCCTGAGCTCAGAGCCAGGAGGAACCCCTGCGCATCGCTGGGTGTGAGCCCCCCAAAAAAACAAACAAGCAAACAAACAAAAAAAGAATTCAAAGTAGGGTCCAAAGAGATAGTACAGGGTTGCATGACGTGATCGATCAATCGGTCGGAGGCATGGAGATAGAACACCCGAGAGGAATGTAGAGAGCACTGAGGGCCGAGGCTCGTTCTGGCTCGAGGCCAGGAGCGACTGCCAGAGGCCTCCTTTTATTCAATTTTTATCAGTTACACCCTAATGGCTTCATCACAGAGAAAGACTCACTAGCGAGAGTACAGACAGTTATAGGCTGAGCATTCGTCAAAGGAGCATCAGGGTAGGCATTTGTTTTGTCAAAGCGATGACGTCAAAGCTATGTTGTCATGATTGACATGTCAGAGGACATGCAGGCTCTATAGGTTGAGGTAGTCCCACATTCCTGTGGTCGGTTACACACAGGGCGAAGAGAAGGCTCATGCTGATACTTGAAGGTCAGTCCAGATTAAGGATGTGTGAGAGAGGGGGAAACTCCTGCCTTGTGCTGCCGAGATAGTGTATGACCAAGCGGGCATATGGGAGCATGCTGTATCCTCCAGGTCATCGGACTCACAAGGTGTTCGCTTGCCCCCTCAGTGAGAAGTGGGGCCTCGGCTCTGCTTCCTGCTTGCAGGGCAACGTCCAGAGGCTCGTCCTGATGTCCTGGCTTAGCACCAACAGTACAGTGGGTAGGGCATTTTCCTTGCACGCAGCTGACCCGGGTTCAATCCCTGGCACCTGATGTGGTCCCCCAAGTCCTCCAGGAGTGATCCCTGAGCAGAGCCAGATGTGGTCCCCAAATAAAAAAACGGGGGCTGGAGTGATAGCACAGCAGTTAGGGCGTTTGCCTTGCACACGGCCAACCTGGGTTCGATCCCCGGCATCCCATATGGTCCCCTGAGCACTGTCAGGAGTAATTCCTGAGTGCAAAGCAAGGAGTAACCCCTGAGCATTGATGGGTGTGACCCAAAAAGAAAAAAAAAAGAACCAAAGGTGTTAAAGGAAATCTTGGATGCCGGAAGGTGCCTCTAGGGGGGTAGGAAGGGTGGCCTGTGTGAGGTGGGTCTAGATGGCGTCGGGGATGGGAGGTCAAGGCTGGGCTTTGAGGTTGGGAGCCGCAGGGGTCCGAGGAGACCTTGGAAATTCCACATTGGGCATGGGCAAAGCTGTCTGTTCTAGAACGTAGCATGGGACCCCCCAGGACGCCGTTTCATGTAAGATTCTTCCTGCTCCCTCCGCCCTGTTGTTGGGGCTTCAGTGACCTGGGGGCGGGTCACACCTGCCCAGGCTATGGGGTTCACACACATCAGCGAAGGCCCACATGCACCCACCGTGGGCTCTGCTCTTAGTGGGCACACAGGGGCTGGGAGGCCACTAGGTGACATGCCCAGCTGCAGTGAGGCCAGAGATCAGCAGGGCTCAGACGGTTTTGACCCACCAGCACATAAGTGACTCCAGAGACTGAAACTGGTGACCATTGGGGCTGGAGCCATAGCACAGCAGGGAGGGCATTTACCTTGCATGTAGCCGACACAGGTTCCATTCCCAGCATCCCGTAGGGTCCCTCGAGCATCGCCGGGAGTGATTCCTGAGTACAGAGCCAGGAGGAACCCCTGTGCATCACCGGGTGTGACCCAAAAAGAAAAAAAAAAAACTGGTGACCGTTTGCTCATGGGGTCCGGCTCTTGTTCTCCTGCCCAAGGTCACTGCGATGGGACAGGGCTCAGGGGACCATCCGGATGTGGGGGATTGAACCAGGGTTGGCCAAGTGCAAGGCAAATGCCCTCTTTGCTGCACTATGACTCAGGCCTCATTAATTTGGTTTTGGTTTGGGGCCACACACGACAGTGCTCAGGGCTGACTTCTGCCTCTGTGCTCAGGGGTCACTCCTGGCTGGCTCAGGGGACCAAATAGGGTATTGACTACCAAAGCTGGGCTACCACGTGCCCTCCCCGCCTTGCTATGGCTCTGACTCCCTGCATGTGCGCTTATTTTTATTTCCTTTCCTTGTTTTTGCTGTTGTGGGCTGGAGTGATAGCACAGCGGGTAGGGGCGTTTGCCTTGCAAGTGGCCAACACGGCCGAGCTGGGTTCAATTCCTCTGCCCTTCTCGGAGAGCCCGGCAAGCTACCAAGAGTATCTCGCCCGCATGGCAAAGCCTGGCAAGCTACTCGTGACACATTCGATATGCCAAACACAGTAACAATTGTCACAATGGAGATGTTACTGGGCCCGCTCGAGCAAAATCCATGAACAATGGGAGGACAGTGACAGTGACAGTGTTTTTGCTGTTGCTACTGTTCTTTGGGGTTTGGGATGGTACCCAGGGAGGACGGGAGGGATGCTCATGCTCCTCCCAGTGCTGCTTGCGGGGGCAGTGAAGGGTGGGAGCCGGGGTCAGCTACACTCAAGGCGCTGCATCACCTGCGTCTGGGTCTGACTGTGGGGACTGTGGTGATGAGCTTGTGTCCGGCTGGATCATGTGCTTGCCCCTCGGCCATGGTGCTCACGCACCCCACACTGTGCCGGGGGTCCCCTCTGGGCACACAGGGGGCTGAGTGTCCAACTCGCAGCCTCACGTCTGCAAGGCAAGAGCTTGGCCACACAGTCGTCCTGAGTTGGTGCCACAGAGCCAGGTGTCAGGGTGCAGCCTCCAGGGCTCCCCGGGGCATGGGCTGGAGAGAGGACAGCTGGGAGGGCACGGGCCTTGCATGCAGCAGCTGACCCGGGTTTGATGACCAGCACCACATATGATTCCCTGAGCCCTGCCAGGAGTGATCCCTGAGCACAGAGTCAGGAGTCAGCCCTGAGCACAAAGCCAGGAGTCCTGAGCACAGCCAGGAGTGATCCCTGAGCACAGAGCTGGAAGTGAGCCCCAAGCAAGAGCTGGGAGTGAGCCCTGAGCATAGAGCCAGGAGTCAGCCCTGAGCACCGAGGTAAGAGTCAGCCCTGAGCACTGAGACAGGAGTCAGATCTGGGCACAGACCAGGAGTCAGCCCTGAGTACAGAGCCGAGAGTCAGCCCTGAGCACTGATACAGGAGTCAGCCTGAGCACTGCCAGGGATAGCTCAGAGCACCCCAGTGCCCCGCAAAGCCCTTATTGGTCAGGGTGGGGGAGCTGGAGGGCGCACTCCTTGGGCCTGCCTCTGTGGGCAGCCGCTGGCCTGCACCTCAGCGGGCACCGGCTGCCTGGAAGGCGCCACCCCCGTCCCACACCCTGCTGCCCTGCGCCATCACAGCGTCCAGCTAATAGTTCCGCTCTATCCACATCCTCTCTCCTCCCCGGAGAAAGGGACGAAATCCAGGTTTGGGGGCCTGGCTCAGCCTCCATCCCGGCACCCCACAGGGTCCCGGAGTCGGTCCTGAGCACCCCAGCGTGGAAGAGCAAACAAAACAGATCATGTGCTATCACGGAGCGATAGCACAGCGGGGAGGTCGTTTGCCTTGCACACGGTCGACCCGGGTTCAATCCCCAGCATCCCATAGGGTCCCCCAAGCACCGTGAGGAGTAACTCCTGAGTGCAGAGCCAGGAGGAACCCCTGAGCATCGCAGGGTGTGACCCAAAAAAGAAAAAAAAAAGCATGGCCTTTCCCACCCGTGACCGTTGGCCTCTGTTCCTCAGTTTATCGTCTCTGATAGAGGGATGGTGCCAACGCCACCATGAGGTCATTCCGATGGTGGCAGGATATGGCTGGTTGACCGTGGTGCCTTCGTGGGGTCCATCGGGGCTGGTGGTGTCAGTGGCACCTTTGCCCAGCGAGGGGGGGGGTGAGCAGGCTGGTGCCATCTGCCATCTCCGTCGGTCTGGGCAGAGTGCACGGCGGGGACCCCTTTCCGCCAGGATGCCCATAAGCAGGTCTGCCATTTCCCCCAGGCTGACAGCCCGCTGTGGGGGGCCGTGGGCACAGCCCGGGCACGGCTATCCACCTGTGCGGCCTCTTCCTGGGCCGAAGTCTCCGCGTCCAGGGCACCCTGGGGTCATGAATTACTGCCAAGTGGCGTGCTGGGGTGGGCCAGGGCTCGCAGCGGATCTGGACTCCCCCCTGCATCTTACAAGCGACCACAGCGTCCCAGACGGAGCCCCAGGACCCTCACTCAGCGGGGCTCGGTGACAGGGTGAATAGCTCGGGCCATGAAATATTCAGCGGGCTGTGACCGACGTGGGGGCGAGTCAGCACTGGAGCGTGGAGGCTGGTGGCTGCCGGCCAGCCTGGCCAGGAGCAGAGTGGCCGTCTGCGCCGCCCACCAGGCCCCAGGGGGTGGGGAAGCTCACGGCCAGACCCGCCCTCACGCAGGTGCGCGGAATCACGTGGTCAGTGGCGCTGAGCAGCCCGGGGCGGGGGTCTGCGGACCCAGGATGGGCTCTGGTGCCCTTGACCTGGACAAGGGGGCCTAAGGGTTTGGGGAGCAGGGAAGGCCAGCGGGGTGGGTGGGAGGTGCGATAGGGAGGGGCCGAGTCTCTGGGGTGGCAGGAGCGTGGGGAGTGGGCCTGGGGGAGGGGCGTGTGGTTCGTGATGCTTCCGATGGACAGGCCAGCTGGGCAACTGGGTGGGGGTGGAGAGCTGTGGGACTGGTTGGGGCGTAGCCTGTGACTGAAGCCAGAGCGAGAGGGAGGGGATAGGTGGGGGGGGGGGGGTTGTGGGCGGGTTACCTGCCCTTCCAGCCTCTCAGCAGGGAGGACACAGCCCCTGGCCTGGCCCCTGCTGAGGCCTCTGCGGGCGCGCCTGTATTGTGGCGCCACCTGGTGCTTAGCACTGGTAACTGCACCCACCGTGACCGGCCAGTTCCGGAAAACCTCTCTGCGCGCCTTGGGGAGCTTGTGTGCAGTGACAGACGCCAGCTAGGGCCAGGGAGCCCCAAGGAGTGAAGGTGCTGGCAGCCCCTCCTCTGCTTTCACGCAGACAGAAGCGCTCAGATGCACAACAGCGGTGAGGACACCCCGCCCCGGCCCCGCGGGTTAGAGCCTGGCACCACGTGGGACTGGGACCAGTGACCGTGGGACTCCCTCTCCACGTGGGCTGTGATAGCACGGACAGCGGGGCCCTCAGTGACAGCTGCCTGTGGCCACGGAAAGTGAACGGAGCCACTGCCTGGAAGATCCGCGTTATAGAATATATCATGAATAATGCTTATTTATTTATTTATTTGCACTCAGGAATTACTCCTGGCTGTGCTCGGGGGGACCATATGGGATGCCAGGGATCGAACCCGGGTCGGCCGGGCTAGCACAGCGGTATGGCGTTTCCCATGCACGCGGCTGACTTGGCCGACTTGAGTTCGATTCCTCTGCCCCTCTCAGAGAGCCTGGCAAGCCACCTGTGACGAATTCGATAAGCCAAACACAGTAACGAGTCTCACAAGGGAGACGTTACTGGGCCCGCTCGAGCAAATTGATGAACAACGGGAGGAACAGTGCTTTATTTATTTATTATTGGGGGGTTGGGGCACCCCCTGGCGGTGCTCGGGGCTTCCCCTGGCGGGATTGGGGAATCAGACGAGGTGCCGGACATCGTGCCTGCACTGAACAAGAGCAAGGCCAGCGCCCCAGCAAGGGGTGTGTGTGGCTTGGGTCCCCTCCCACGATGGCCCCTGGTGGGCCCCCGCCTGTCTTTGCAGGTTTTGGCATCAAAGAGTCAGTTTCGGGGCTGGAGCAATAGCACAGCGGGGAGGGCGTTTGCCTTGCACGCGGCCAACCCGAGTTTGATCCCCAGTATCCCATATGGTCCCCTGAGCACTGCCAGGGGTGATTCCTGAGTGCAGAACCAGGAGTAACCTCTGTGCATCGCTGGGTGTGACCCAAAAAACAAACCAAACAAACAAAAAAACAAAGGGGCAGTTTCTCAGGTGCAGGTGCTGCGCGCAGAGCCGGGAGCGCCAGGGTCCACGGGTCAGAGCCAGGGCCCAGGGGCTTCCCGAGCGTGAGGGGCAGAGAGCACCGGAGAGTGGCCCTAAGAGCCCGCGGCGCTGCTTCTCCGCAGAGGGGTCAATGCCCAGACCAAGAACGGTGCCACGCCCCTGTACCTGGCGTGCCAGGAGGGCCACCTGGAGGTGACGCAGTACCTGGTGCAGGAGTGTGGCGCGGACCCGCACGCGTGCGCGCACGACGGCATGACGCCCCTGCACGCGGCGGCGCAGATGGGCCACAGCTCGGTCATCGTGTGGCTGGTGAGCTGGGGGCCGGGAGGGGGGTGGCCCTGGGGGAGGGGCCCGCGCCCAGCCCCGCCCTCCCGTTCCGTCCCGACTGCCGCTGCTGCTACCGCCGCCCAGGTGAGCTGCACCAGTGTGAGCCTGTCGGAGCGCGACAAGGACGGCGCCACGGCCATGCACTTCGCGGCGAGCCGCGGCCACGCCAAGGTGCTCAGCTGGCTCTTGCTGCACGGGGGCGAGATCGCGGCCGACCTGTGGGGCGGGACCCCCCTGCACGACGCGGCCGAGAACGGGGAGCTGGAGGTAGGCCGGGCGGCCGGGGCAGGAGGGGGCCACACCGGCTGCGCCTCCCCCATCCCCCGCGGCTCCGGGCCGGGTCCTCACGGCCCACCCCGCAGTGCTGCCAGATCCTGGTGGTCAACGGCGCCGAGCTGGACGTCCGTGATCGCGACGGGTACACGGCCGCAGACCTCTCGGACTACAACGGCCACACCCACTGCACCCGCTACCTGCGCACCGTGGAGAATCTGGTAGGCCCGGTGAGGTGGAGTCAGAGAGGAGGAAGGGGGCAGGAGATACCCAGGGCGGAGTGCCCGAGGCAGCAGGTCCACTCACCTGCTGCCCTGCGTGGCCAGAGCAAATGCACGAGGCTGACCTAGGTTCGAACCCTGGCATCCCACATTGGTCTCCTGAGCACCACCAGGAGTGATCTCTCAGCACAGAGCCAGGAGTAACCCCTGACCGTAGCCGGGTGTGGACCCCCAGCCCCCCAAAGAAATCACCTGCCTGCAGGCATGAGGCACTGGTGACCCATTTCCTAAGTGGGTAAGTGGAGTCTTTGGTAGACCCACAGGCACACAGCTGCTGCGGGGTGGTGTCTAGTGCCTGTAGCGCTCATTCTGTAGCTACTTCAATTCCAGAAACTGGTGCCACGCTTCCTAAACTGTGCGGTTAGGGTGCCCCACCCCCGAAGAAGGTGCAAGTCTGGGGTCTTGGCAGACTCTGCAGGAGGGAGGACGGGGGAGAGGTCTTGCAGGACTTCAGGCTGCTGGCCCTGTGGGGGCTGCGGGTGCCAGCTGGGACCAGGGGTGGGTGACCGAGCGTCCTACACACCCTGGGGCTGGCCCTGCAGCTGAACCCCCCAGGGTGGGTCTCCTTAGCAACCCCCCTCAGTGAGCACCCAGCAGGCAGTCAACACATAGGGCAGGTGCAGTGGAAGGCTCCAGCTAGCTGCTCTGGGGACTGTCCAAGATTCACCCCCCAGAGCCTCACACTGCAAGGGCTGCTCACAACAAGTCTCACCCCTGGGCTTCGGAGGCCCAAAGGTGCCAGCCCAGTGCAGGCTTGACATTGGCTTGGCCTCACCCCCCCACAGCCTGGCAGGGTGACGACACTGGTCTCCCCACTCACTGACACGGAGACTCAGCGGAGCAATTCCCACGCTCCTGGGGGTAACGTGTGCATCAGTGGGGAAGTGACCTCTGATCCAGGGTCAGGAGACCACTGCGCCCTCCCAGCCCGGGTCCTGTGGGTGCCCTCGGCCTGGGTTAGGGAACATGCACACACACGCACACACACATGTGCACGCACACATGTGTACACGCACACACATGCACGCACATACACACGCGCACACATGCATGCACACATGCACATATACACACACACATGGACACATGGGGCACACTCATGCACACACGTGCACACACATGCATGCACACACACACATATATATGCACACACACATGCGCACACATGTGTACGCACACCTGTGCACGCACACGCATGCACACGCACATACACACAGACACACACGACAGCTGTGGCAGCCAGACTGAAGCGGCAGGAGGCTGGCCCAGAAAGACAAACCCGCCCCCAGAGCCCCTAATTACAGGGCCAATGAGCGTGGCCGCCGAGCTGTTCCCTGGTGCTGCCTCCCTCTCTGTCCCGGGGGGCCTGTGACACTTCTCAAGCCGGGAGGGGGCACGGGCACGGAGGCCTGGGCAGGAGGCAGCGGCAGCGAGTGGGCGAGCGGGCAGCATGGGCAACGTAAGCAGGGTCCCCGGAGCCCACACAGAGGGTCGGGCCCCAGGGTGGGCACTGACGGGGTGGGGGCGGGGGGGGGGTCAGTGGCCGAGCCCAGGAGGCTCAGCCCAGCTCAGCAGGGCACCCCAGGGCGTGCCCGCTCCCCAGGGCTGCCCAGCTGGAGTGTTGGGGTTGCTGGGGGCCAGGCCAGAGAGGGGCCACTGCCAGGCGCAGGAACTTGGGGCTTCTCCCCTCATGTCTTCGACACCGATACCCCCACCCCCAGGACCTCTGGAGTCTCCCCCGCCCAGTGGGGAGGCGCAGGGCTCTCAGGGTCTCCTCTGCTGGCCCAGGGCTGGGGGCTCAGATGTGGCAGTTTCCGGGATCCACGGAAACTGAGTTTGGGTCTTAGCCTGGAAAGATGCTGAGGGACCCCAGGTGGGGGCAGGTGGGGCCGGAAGGGGCAGCTGGCTGGGCTCTGGTCACTCAGCTCGGAGACGCCTGGGTCAGACACTAGCCGGGCATCACAGGGCCGCGGGGCGGGGCGGGAGGGGTCGTCCTGCCCCCCCATATGCACTCTCCGCTCAGAGTGTGGAGCACCGCGTGCTGTCCCGGGACCCGTCCGCGGAGATGGACACGAAGCAGCTGGACTCGGGCATGTCGTCCCCCAACACCACCGCATCCATGCAGCCGCTGAACTTTGACCTCGGCTCGCCCACCAGCACCCTCTCCAACTATGACTCCGGGTCCTCCGGCCACTCCAGCGTCAAGGACCAGCGGTCCCAGCGAGGTGAGTGGACAGGGAGAGCTGCCTCTGGGAGGGGCACACACAGCTGACACACATACACACACAGCTGACACTGCAGTTCCCCGGGGCACCAGAAGGGGGCACAGTTCCTGGCGAGAAACTGGGGGTGGGCACAGGCTTGTGAACATGAGACCCACCCCCCGCTGGGTCCCCCCCAAATCCACCGGCGCCTGCTCGCAGCTCATTGGCCCTGCCCACACTTGAACTGAGTGGACCCCAGAACACATATGCTCTCCCATAGCGAGTGCCAGCCCGAACATGGGCAGGGCACAGACACACAGACCAAACACAGGCTTCCGGCCACAACCCCTTTCCCCTGGCATGCAGGGCCCCCCTCAATGGCCACCCGCGGAGGCAAGCAACTCAGAGGCAGGTTTCCATGGGCCACACCCTGGCACAGGTGCCCAGCGCCTGCGGTGCCTGCCTGTGCCACCAGGTGGAACCCTGCAGAGCTGGCAGGGCCACTCCTGCCCCCGACACCACTGCCCTCCGCCCGCCAGTGGCCCTGCCCCAGGGACACGCCCTGGAGCCCAGTGGCCCTCCTTCAGTCCCCGCATGCCGGGACTCCGGAACTCTCTCCGCTGTGCGCTGGGGGAGGGCACCCCGCGCTGCTTCCCTGGACCCCTCCGCGCCCCTTGGCACACGATTGCCGGGCAGCAGAGTGTGGGGCCCGGCTGGTCAGCTGATCCTGCACCTGCCCAGGGCTGCCCAGCGCGGGTGCCGCAGGGCTAGAAACCTACATGGACATGCTGGAACCCCGGACCGGCCTGCTGCGGACAGCGGAGTGCGTTCCCCCGCCCCCGCCTGGCTACCCGGCTCCCGGGCCCCCACGGGGGCTCCCCGCTGCCGACATCTACATGCACACGAAGAGCAAGCTCCGTCATGTGGAGCCCAACACCGCCAGGAAGGAGGTAGAGTCCCGGGCCAGCTGACGGGACAGCAGGGCTGGGTGCTGGAGTCCGGGCAGGGAGATGAGTCGGACAGAGCCCAGTGTCCTGGGGAGCCGGCGGGCAGGACAGAGGGGGCAGCAACGTCACCCCAACCTGCCCTGCGGTGCCCGGAGTAGCCCACCTCCTCCTGGCTGGCCACATGGTGGAGCAGGCGTGGTTGTGCCCTGAGACCCCTGCTGAGCTGTCCAAGTGGCAGGTGGCAGGTGGGAGCATGGCTTGGCCACAGGGATGCAGAGGGCATTGCAATCCCCATTCGGGCATTGCCAGTGGGCGCTGGGGGCAGGCAGACACCGTGTCCATGTGGGGTGTAGCCAGGGCAGGGACCCAGGGCCCAAGAGAGTCCTGGGAACGGCTGGCTAGAGTCGGGGCTGGGGCCAGTTGATCTAGAAGGGGCAGCCTAAGCTGGCCGGAGGGAAGTGCTGGCCTGTGGTGCTGAGTGACCGTTCCCTTAGGTGACCTGGTCACAAGGCCATGCAGCCCCTCCCCTTGAGGCCAGGCGCTCAGAGGCGCTCCCGTTTGTCTCCACGTGGTTCTGTGTGCCCATCCCTGCGGAGCCCCAGGCCACACAGCTGCTGCCCTGCTCCACTCCCCGCTGTGTGCCCATGCGCAGGGCTGCAGGCACCCGGCTCCCCACAAAGGGTTCTTTGTCCTTCTGAGGCGCCCCCCGCCCTGCCCGCGGGCCCAGGGTCCTGGCTTGTGTGTGTGTGTGTGTGTGTGTGTGTGTGTGTGCGCGTGCGCGCCTGGGGGCTGCAGGGGGCAAGTGGCCCAGAAAGCAAACCCGAGGTGTCTCGTTCCCCCACCCCCGCAACGTGAGCCCAGTGGGGTGGGGGTCGGGGGCAGGGCAGGGGACAGGCCGGGTGACGCGGCCTTGGGCCCCCCGCGGGGCGGCCGTGCTCCCCGTGGCCCGCGCGGTGGTGGGGCGCTGAGGTGGGGCGGTCGCCGCTGTCACCTGAGTCCGCCGTTCGGGCCCTGAAACCCGAGGCTGGGGCGCGGTGTCGCTTACTTGGAAGATGCAGAAGGGTGTGACCCTCCGCCCTGGGCCCGGGAGGGGCCGCGGGCCGGGGGTCTCCCCGGCGCGCCCCAAGCCTGCGCGCGCGGCCGCTCGAGGGCCGATGCGCGGGTTGGGGCCGGGCGCGTAGAGCGGGGGCCCGCGGTGGGGTGTGGCCGCGCCCCTGGACACCGCCCGCCGCGGGGGGCTCGCGCCGGGATTGGCGGGTCCCGGGTGATGTCAGGCGACAGGGCTCCGGGCGCGGGCGGGCCGCGCTGCGCGTAACCTGAGCGGCGGGATCGGGTGGCAGGTGTCGGGTCCCCGCCGCCCCCGCGGCCAGGTGCACAGCGGGGCCGCGGGATCCGCCAGGTAGGAGCAGCGCCGGCCGCGCGAGGGTCCCCGGCACGCCGGACCCCGCGGGAGCCGGGCTCCGAGGGAGCTCCCTGGGGGCCCACCCTCCCCGCCCCCCGACAGGGTTCGCGGGGGCGCCGGGCACCGATGGGCAGGGCGGCGGGTGGGCCCAGGCGCGCGCGAATCCGGGAGCTGCCCCAGTTCCGGCTCCCCCTGGTGTCTGGACGGGCCACCCCGCCCCCGGGCCCGCCCCCTGGAGCCTCAATGGGGACCCGGGCCCGCGCCCAGCACCCCCCACCCCCACCCCGGGCCGGCGGGGATGCGAACGGGGAGGCGGCGCCGGGGCGCCAAGAACCGACGGCTCCCCCCCGTGTGCCCGCTGCAGGGCGACCGCGACGGCCACTGCGGGCCGCCTCCGCCGGACCCGGGCCGCCAGCCCCGCGCCGTAGCCAAGCAGCCCAGCACGGGGGACTCCTGCCACCGGCAGCTGGGCCGCGGACCCCCGCAGCCGCCGGCCGCGCGTCCGCCCATGGCGCACAGCGGGGAGGTGCGTGTTCCCCGGCCCGGCCCGCCGTCCGCGCCCGCCGCCGCAGCCGCCGCGGCTCACCGCCCGCCCCCTCCCCGCAGGCGGCGCTGCCCCCCCGCAGCCACGTGCACAACGGCTGCGCAGCGGACCCCAAGGCGCCCCGGGACCTGCCCCCGCCGCCGCCGCCGCCGCCGCCGCCGCCCCTGCCCGAGGCCCTAAGCTCGCCGCGGCCCGCTCCGCCGCTGCCCCCCGAGGGCCCCGTCTGCGGGCAGCGCCGTGCCTCCTCCTCCACTGGCAGTGAGTGGGCACGGGGGTGGGGTCGGGAGGCGGGCGGAGGGCCCCGGGGACCCCGCCCCCGTCCCGGCTGCAGCTGGACCGGATCCCGCGCTCCCTCCGTCCACCCAGATGCGCTGTGCGGGGTGACTCCTACCCTCTCCCGGCGGCCCAGAGCGCGGGTGGGTACCAGAGGGAGGCCAGCACCCCGGCCAGCTCCCCATCGCAGGCTCCAGGCTCCGCAGCTGTCCTGACGCACCGCCACCTTTGGCTTTTTTTGAATTGTGTTTCATTACTTTATTTGAGGGCCACACCCGGTGATGTTCAGGGATCAGTCCTGGCCGGGTCGGGGAAGTGCGTGGGGTGCCGGGGATTGAACCCTGGTCGACTGTGTGCAAGGCAAGCGCCCTTCCCCCTGTACTCTCTCTCCCTCTCCCTCTCTCTCTTTCTCTCTCTTGCTCCTCCATACCATCTTGGGCCCTTCCCTGATGCACTAGGGCTGCCTGCCCCAACCTGCCGAGTGGCCAGGGCTGCTGGCCACTGCTGCCTCTGCGGGACACTCATTCCTGCTTCCCCTTTCTCTGGGTGTGTCCCGCAGGCCAGGCTCAGTGGGTACTGGTGCTGAGGCCTCCCCTCACAGCCCCGGGCCAGTGCACACTGACCCTCTCAAAGCTCCATCACCCCAACTCAGAGGGCAGAGTCCTGGAGGATTGGGGTCTCCAGGAGTCCTGGGGCTCGCCCACACTCTCAGTTCTCGTCAGCTTCTCTGGTCAACAGTTGCGCATGGCCGGCCAGATGTCGGAACCAAAGAAAATGAGATGCTGGGCGCCCCAAGACGTCCCCTTTGCAGCACAGCTCGGGGCTGGGTTGGCCCGACCACAGCTAAGACCAAGGCTGACCCTCCCCCTCCGTGGCCAGAGGCAGCGCAGGCATTAAGGGGCTGACCCCGTTCCGTCCACAACCTGAGTAGGGGGTCCCCAAGCATCACCGGGAGTGATCTCAGAGCATCGAGCCAAGAGAAAGCTCCGAGCACTGCAGGGTGTGGCCCCAAGCAAGTGAATGAGGCTTTGGTGCAGGCAGCCGGGAGAGTGTGCCCAGGCCTGGGGGCACCATGCATGCCCGAGGCTGGGGGACCTGGGCAGGGCGGCCAGGGGCAGTGGGGGGCGGGCTCTGAAGTTCCTCCTGTCCTCTCTCCTCTGCGCCTCTTCCTGCCCGCTGACCCTGGCCTCTCGCTGTCCCCTGCCCTTCCTTCTCTGCTCTCGGTCCCTAGAAGTGAGAGTCCTCAGACACAGAAAGAGTGAGTAGCTGCGCGCTTGCCTGCTGAGGCAGGGGGTGGGCGCTCGGCCCTCAGGAAAACCAGCCCACCATCCGGGTGGCGGGAGGCAGAGCGGGAGGGAGGGGTGTCCCGCAAGCCTCAAGCCACAGGCGGGGTCTCCCACCTCCGGGACCCGCACCACACCCACAGGTGCTGCTGCGCATGCGTGTCTGGCTTTGGCATGTTGGGCCTCCCGGACCCCCTCGTTTCCTTGCCCCTGGCTGCGGCTGTGCCCAGGGACCGCCCCCCCCAGTCCGCAAACCCTGCTCTGCCCCACTTCCCCACAGCCCCGCAGACCCCTCCCCCAGTCCCTGGTCTTCTGGGCCTGTCCGGGTCGGAAAATGCAAACTTGCTGCAGACATTTGCATACGATGCTCCCGGCCCCTCTTCCTGGCCCCCCCCTCATGTCCTTAGAAAGGGGCCCCGCCTTCCTGGATCCCTGGCTTTCTCCGGGCTCGCAGCCGAGTGCAGCCAGGGGCATCTGTCTGTGGGTGTGGGGTGGAGCTGGGAGGGCCGGGGGCTGGCGTCCAGGGTCCTGGACCCAGGTCCTAGAGTCGAGAAGGCTGCGGGTGACTCGGTCCAAGGGTCACTGGGCTGTGCTGATGCAGAGAAAGGCCTACGGCCGACTCCACCCGGCCAGGGCAGAGCCAAGGGACCCAGGACAAAGGTCAGGTGCCCAGCCCCAGGTAGTATTCTGAGCCGGTTGGTCAGTGTGCCGGGCAGAACATTCGCTAAGTCCCCGGGGGCGAGCCGAGAGCCAGCATGGACTCCCCGGGGGCCCCAGGGGGGGCCCCCACTCCTCCCTGTGAGTAGAACCGGGAGCTGGTGGGGGCCGGTGCCCCACAGCGCCGCCTCCTGTGGGCTTGGCAGGTCCCGACTCAAGCGGGAGCTGGCCAGCGGGCAGCGGTGGGGCCCTGCCCCGGGAGGCGCCCGCACTGACACCTGTCTCCGCCTCCCCGCAGGCACCAAATCCTTCAACATGATGTCCCCGACGGGGGATAACTCGGAGCTGCTGGCCGAGATCAAGGCCGGCAAGAGCCTGAAGCCCACTCCTCAGAGCAAGGGGCTGACCACTGTCTTCTCGGGCAGCGGGCTGCCAGCCTTCCAGGTACACCGCCAGGCGGCCGCACCCGGCTCCCCGCGCGGCGGCCGGCCCGGTGCTCAGTCCTGCCGCTTCTCCCCGCAGCAGACGGACTCGCCGGGGCCAACGTCGCCCTCGGCTTCCACCGCCAGCTCGCGGGCGCGGAGCCCCACCCCGCCGGCCACGGGGCCCCAGCCCCTACTCAACGGCAGCCTGGCGCCAGCGCCGCCCGCCACCCCAGCGCCCGGGGTGCAGCTGGATGTGGAGGCGCTGGTCCCCACCCACGACGAGCAGGGCCGGCCCATCCCCGAGTGGAAGCGGCAGGTGATGGTGCGGAAGCTGCAGCTGAAGATGCAAGAGGAGGAGGAGCAGCGGCGGAAGGTGGGTGGGGCTGGGGCGGGTCTCGGGAGCCCCCAGCCTCCCTCCGCCGTCTGGCCGCGCTGCCCTGTCCTGGTTCTTGGGGTTCTGGTAGCTCTCCTTCCCCGTCGAGGGGGAGAGAGCAGGGCTCAAGGCTGTTCCCAGCGGAGCCCAGCAGCCTGTCCTTGGTGCCCGGGTGATGCTTAGCTGGCCGAGATGCCCTTCCCAGCGCCTGGCATCCGAATCCTAAACTGCAGCGGTGGGCAGAACTTCAGCAGGTGCGACTAGCTTCTGCGAAGACTGACCTGACAGGGGCGAGGGCGGGGTGGGCTGCAGGGCCAAGAAGCAGAGGTCTGGCCCGGGCTACTTCCCTGTACGGCTCCTCCACTGTCGGGTGGGGTGACTATCACTGACCAACAGGAGGGGACGTTGTCTGGGTCTCTGGGCACTGCCTTAAGTGCTCCGGAGTGTCTGTGGCTTTTCGGGGGTTCGTAAAAGCCTCCAGGTCTGCGGCACAGAGGCTAGGATATCAGGCAGGGAGCAGGGGGAGCGGGGGGAGGGCCTTTGTAGCAGGGTCAGTGCCCCCAGATGGCTGGGCAGTCACTAGAGTGGCCTACGGGATGGCAGCAAGAGTGAACACGGGGGCCGGAACAACTGGACAGTGGGGAGAGCACTTGTCTTTGCACACGGCAGACCCAGGCTCCATCCTGGCATCCCATATGGTCCCTGAGCCCCACAGGACTAACTCCTTGATGCAGAGCCAGGAGTAACCCACATTGCTGTTCGTGCCCCCCCCCAAAAGTGAATACACTGCTTTCTGGGTTTTGGGGGGTTATTATTATTATTATTTAGTGGGCTGAGGGAGAGGGTGGTGACTCCAAGACAGAAGAGAAGGAGACCAAGAAGTGACAGAAAATGAGTTGGGTTGGGGCTGGAGCGATAGCACAGTGGGTAGGGTGTTTGCATGTGGCCAACCTGGGTTCGATTCCCAGCATCCCATATGGTCCCCTGGGCACCACTAGGAGTAATTCCTGAGTGCAAAACCAGGAGTAACCCCTGAGCATCACCAGGTGTGACCAAAAAAAAAAGAGAAAGAAAAAAAATGAGTTGGGGACCGAACACAGTAGTATAGTGAGAAGGGTGCTTGCTTTGCACATGGCTGACCTGGGTTTGATCCCCAGCACCCCATATGGTCCCCCAAGCCCCACTAGGAGTGATCCTTGAGCACAGAGTAAGCCCTTAAACACAGGCCACAGGTGTGGCCAAAGAAATGAAAAGAAAAGAAATGTAAAGAAAATGAGTTGGACTGGGATTGGAGAGAGGACCTCAGGTTGGCGTTTGCCCTGCATGTGGCCGCCCTGGGTTCAACCCCCGGCATCCCATATGGTCCCCTGAGCACCACCAGGAGTCATTCCTGAGTAAGAGGCAGGAGGAGCCCCTGAGCATCACCGGTTGTTCCCCACCCCCCAAAAAATTAATAAATAAAATGAGTTGGGCAGAGGCAACAAAATCGGACTGGAGGAAATGTGCTAGGAGGCAGATGGGGCAGGGCCGGCTGCAGCTGGGCCTGAGGGTGAAGTCCGAGCTGTCAGAGGGGGTCAGAGCCACAGGCCTGGCCAGTCTCCGAGAAGAAAATGAACTTCCCAGGCTGGGGACTTGTCTCACAACGCTGAGCACTTGCCTTGCAGACACGAGGCTCTGGCACCACATGGCCAGCTAGGGATAGCCCTAGTGACCTCCACAACGAGAAAAAAAAAATCTAAAAAGAAAGAAAGCAGGGGCTGGAGTGATAGCACAGCGGGTAGGGCGTTTGCCTTGCAAGTGGCCGACCTGGGTTCGATTCTCAGCATCCCATAGGGTCCCCCAAGCACCGCCAGGAGTAATTCCTGAGTGCATGAGCCAGGAGTAACCTCTGTGTATTGCTGGATGTGACCCAAAAAGCAAAAAAAAAAAAAAAAAACAGACTTTCTGCTGCAGCAGTGAGAAGCTCGAGAGGGGGTGAGGCAGGGAGTGGCATCGTGGTATTTGTTTGTGGACCAATGATGACGGGCATGGAGGCTGCAGGAGGTGGTGGGACCCAGCGGGAAGAGCTGGAACTCAAATAACAGGCCGGAGGTGGGGTGTGGTTCAGCACGAGAGCACTTGCTTTGCATGCTTGAGGCCCTGGGTGAGATCCCAGCTCCCAGAGCAAACAGAAAGGCACCTGACGGTCCAGCTCTTTCAATTATATTATAATTATGCCCTTGAGAGGGGGGAGGGAGAAAGCCGCAAGCGCCTTCAAACCGGACAGGAGGCAGTGGAGCCAGAGCGGCTGAAGGCGGCAGGGGTGTCTGCGGAAGGGACCCTGTGACCAGGAGCCCGGAACCTCTAGCTGGGGTGGGAGAGGGCCCGTGAGTCGCAGCTGCACACCTTTTGCACGTCCCTTGGGTGGTGTAATGAGCCATCGGGCGTGGAGATGGGCCGCTTACCCGTCCCAGCGCTCAGCAGCGCCCGACGATCTATCTGCCTGCCAGCAACCCAAGTGGACACTGCCCAGCGCCCTGAGAAACGGCCCGGCCGAAGCTTCTTCCCGACGTCAGTTGCCCTCCCAACCCCCCACGTCGGCCAGGCCTGGCCCACCCCTGCACCCGCGGCGCTGCGAGAGCCATTACACCACCCACCGGGGGCTTGCAAAGGGCTCCCGGGGTCGCGGCGCCGGCCGGCCGGCCGGGGCGGAGCTAGAGGGAGACCCGCCTCCCTCCCCTGTCTTGTCTTCCCTGCCTTAGCTGACGGCCGCCAGCGCCTGCTGCTACCCGCGCGAGGGCTGGAGGTACTCTCAGCAGCACGACGCCATCCTCGGGCCCTTCGGCGAGCTCATGACCGAGGCCGACGTCCTGCGCATCGAGCAGCAAATCGAGAACCTGCAGGTGCTGCACAAGGCGCAGAGGCTGGAGGCGCACCTGGCGCAGCTGGAGCGGGAGCTGGAGCAGCTGCTCCCCGCCTCGGCCGCGCTCTCGGCACCGCGCTTCACCGTGGACCCGCGCCGCATGCACGGCCGCGCCGCCAGCCTGCCCGCCTGGTGCAGCAAGATCGCCGCGCTGCTCAAGAGCTTGGCCTCGCTGCTGACCGCCCTGGGCGGCCGCCCCGCGCACCTGGCCGAGCTGCTGGCCGCCGACACGGGCCAGCCGCTGGCGCCGTTGCCCGACGCGCCCTGGCGGCCGGGGCCGCTGTGCCTGGGCCGCTCCCACGCGCTGAGCTGGTGCCGCGAGGCCGTGGCGCGCGAGATCCTGGAGTGCGGCGTGTCGGTGCGGCAGCTCCGCGCCTGCTACGAGCTGCGCGCCCGGGACCCCGAGCCCGGCCCGCGCGCCCCGCGCCGCCGCCGCCTCTCCCTGCCGGCCGGCGCCCCGGACCGCGAGCCCATTCTGGAGGAGGACTACGTGGCGGCCGGCCCCGGCCAGCCGAGCGCCCGGGACCCGCCCGGAGCGCCGGGGCACCACCCGGTGGAGCCGGACGCGCCACACTCGGGCGCGCTGCTCGGCGTCCAGGACTACCTCGACATGCGCAAGGAGCGCATCGTTTACCTCTTCCTGGAGCACTGGCGCAAGTGGACCTTCGGCGGCGCGGGACGCCACGTCCAGGCGCGCCTGCGCAGGCTGCTGCCCCGGGTGGTGGCCGCCGGAGCGGGGCCGGACCCAGAGGCCAGCGACCCCGCGCCCCAGGAGCCCGCCGTTTCTAAGCCCGACGAGCGGCTGCGGCGCCTGCTGAAGCAGCGGCAGGTGGTGGGACAGCTCCTGGGACGCTGGCGCCGCTTGGCCCGGCGGGTGGCTGCGTGTCCACCGCGCGGCCCGGGCCTGGCGCACGGCCTGTACTGGCCCGAGCACTTCCTGCCGCCCCTGGACGGCGCTGCGCCGCCGCGCTACGACAGCCTCACGCTCGACCTGTTCATGCTGGGCTACTTTCAGCTGCTCGAGATGGGCCTGAGCCGTGAGGAGCGCAAGTTCCGCCACCTGCTGTGCTACGAGATGTTCGACCGGCTGGGAAGCCACCCCTGGGAGCGGATCCGCGACTTCCACCGCGCCGTGCTCCAGGAGGTGGAGGCCGGCCGGCGCGGCTGGAGCGACGGCTTCGACGACCTCAGGCGCCAGTTCTTCGGAGACAGCCTGGAGGCTGAGCCAGCGCTGGACCAAGTGGGTTGGAAGGCACTGGGGCAGGAGGAGGAGGAGGAGCACCAGGAGGAGGAGGAGGAGGAGCACCAGGAGGAAGAGGAGGAACAGGAAGAGGAGGAGGAGGAGCAGGAGCTGCCTGCAGAGACCTCTCCAGTTCCCATAGACGACAGCCCAGAGGGGCAACCTGATGCCCGGGACCTTCCACTGCAACTTCCTTCTCCACCCGCACCCCCGCCAGCCGCACCTCCCCCCACGGAGGACCCCCGGGCTGCAGACCCCCCTGCAGAAGACCCCCTGGGGCTGCTGTCCGAGATGGGGGAATTCAGCAACGAGGACATCTGCCGTTACATCGACCGCAGCTTCTCGTTCTGGAAAGAGAAGGAAGCTGAGCTCTTCGACATCTGAGCGGCCGAAGTGTCCTTGTCGCGGGGAGCCGCTGGCAGAGGAGGAATCCAGAGGGCTGGCCTGGTCGTGCAGGGGGGAAGCCTAGGTGTTCCTCGGGGCCTGCAGCCTTGCCTGGCTCTGCGGCCCAGGGCAGAGGCAGGGCTGTGAGCGGGGCTCACGGTGCGCCCCTTTCCTTTCTGTAATGTGCAGGTAATAACAACTGTGCTCTGAGCTGCAGTGCTGAGTCGCCCCAGCCCATGGGAGTACCCGGGCCCATGGGAGTACCCAGGCAGAGGCACAGCACCCTTTCGAGAGCAGGACCAGGGACACGGGGGCATGGCCTGGGGTCTTCTACCAGCCTGCCCTGTGGAGAGTCTTGTTCTCTGACTCTCCCTCCCCCCAACCTACTTTTTTAACCGCTTCCCCTCCATCTCATTTTGGTTTCTTTGGTGCCGGGGATTGAACCCAGTCCAGTGCGTCTCATATGCAAAGCAAGAATTCTCCCACTGAGTCTCACTCCGGGCCGACACTCACTCTCACCTTAAGACCAGGGGTCTGAGAGATGGGGGCGTGGCAGGAGGGCCCCCCTCAGCTGCTGTGTCGAGCCACATCCATGGGCCTGTAGAAGGGCCTCCGGAGAGCATGGCCCTGGCTGGGCAGGACCCCTCTGGCCCCTGCTGGCCCTGAGCCTCTGCCTGTGTTTCAGGAGGAGGAGGAGGAGGCCCGACTGGCCAGCATGCCCGCCTGGAGGCGGGAAATCCTGCGGAAGAAGCTGGAAGAGGAAAGGTGAGCTGGGTCCGGGAGACATGGGGTCTCGCGGTGGTCCTGTTGAATGTTGTGAATATTAATGAATGTTTTCTCTTTTTCCTTCCAGGGAGCAGAAGCGGTGAGTAAGAGGCTGGCTGGCCTCCCTTCCTCCCCCCAGCCCCTGCCACCACTGGGCCGTTCGTTACCCGGTCCCGGTCCCGGTCCCTTCTGGAGCGCTCCTCTAACCAGCCTCTCAATGTCCAGTACTGCCACCACACACCTCTCCCCTCAGAACTTTTTTTTTTTGGTCACATCCAGCGATGCTCAGGAGTTACTCCTGGCTCTGCACTCCTGGCGGTGCTTGGGGGACCACGTGGGTTTTTTTGTTTGTTTGTTTTCTTTTTGGGTCATACCCAGTGATGCATGAGGCTGGAGTGATAGCACAGTGGGTAAGGCATTTGCCTTGCATGCAGCCGACCCGGGTTCGATTTCTCCGCCCCTCTCGGAGAATCTGGCAAGCTACCAAGAGTATCTCACCCGCACGGCAGAGCCTGGCAAGCTCCCCGTGACATATTCGATATGCCAAACACAGTAACAACAAGTCTCATAATTTGTTGTGAGACGTTACTGGTGCCTACTCGAGCAAATCAATGAACAATGGGAGGACAGTGCTACAGTGCAGTGCTACCCAGCGATGCACAGGGGTTACTCCTGGTTCATGCTATCACTCCAGCCCCTCGGGGGAGCACATGGGATGCTGAGAATCAAACCTGGGTTGGCTGCGTGCAAGGCAAACGCCCTCCCCGCTGTGCTATCGCTCCAGCCCCTCTCTCCCCTCAGAACTTAGCCCTGGCCCCTGGGCCTAGCTCTTTGTATTGGGGGTGGCGAGAACAGGTAGCACCTGTTGATGCTCAGGGATGACTCCTGGCTCAGCACTCGGGAATTACTCCTGGGGGTACCCGGGGGACCACAGGGGACGTGGGGGGTCGAACCCAGGTCAGCCATGTGCAAAGCCAGTGTCCTATGGACTGTACTATCTCTCCAGCCTCCTGAGCCTGCACTGAGGACCTGGTCTCTGTTACCCAGTCCTGCCTTCCATTAGTATAGCCATTCTGGCCTACGCATCACCAGGGCCCAGTACTAAAAATCTGAGAATATCGGGGCTGAAGCAATAGCACAGCGGGTAGGGCGTTTGCCTTGCACACAGCCGACCTGGGTTCGATTCCCAGCATCCCACATGGTCCCCTGAGCACCGCCAGGAGTAACTCCTGAGTGCAGAGCCAGGAGTAACCCCTGTGCATCGCCAGGTGTGACCCAAAAAGAAAAAAAAAAACTCAAAAAAAAAATCTGAGAATATCTAGAGAAACTCAATTTTTATCTTTTGGGACCGGAGATAGCACTGGAGGTAAAGCTCTTAGCTTGCATGCAGCCAAAACAAGTTCTCCATCACTGTACCAGGTCCCCTGAGTTCTGCAAGGGTCACCTTTTTTTTTCGGGTCACACGGCAATGCACAGGGGTTACTTCTGGCTCTGCATTCAGGAATTACTCCTGGTGATGCTTGGGGGGAACCATATGGGATGCTGGGAATCGAACCCGGGTCAACCATGTGCAAGGCAAATGTCCTACCTGCTATGCTATCACTCCAGCCCTGCAAGGGTCATCTTGAGCAGATGAATATCCCCTGAGCACCACGGGGTACAGCCTACCCCCCAAATGATAATGTTTGGGGGGTTTACACCTTACGGTGCTGGGAGCTACTTTCGTCTCAGTGCTCTGGGGGCTACTCCCACGTTAGTGCTCAGGGGACAGTTCTGTGCCAGGGTGCCAACACTGGGCCCTACGTGGCAAAGGATGTCATGCTGGCAGCCCGGCGAGCCATCGCCCAGTCCTTTCACTGAACCAGCCCTGTGAAAACGCAGTGATCGAGTCCAATAGGCAGCAATATGAAAGTGACGAAGCAGAGGCCAGAACAATAATACAGCCAAGAAAGCGTTTGCCTTACAGCCAGCCTGGGTGGGGTCCTGGGGTCCCATAAGGTCCTGTAAGCCCACCTGGATTGATTCCTGAGCACAGAACCAGGAGTAAGCCCCGAGCATAGCGGCGTGTGCCCCCCCCCCCGAAACAAAACCAAACCAGAAAATGACAAAGCAGATATTCCTGCTGTAAACTGCAGCCTAGGTGAGAGGGAGCTTGGGACCCACGTTTCTGCCACTTGGCGGGGCTCCTTTGGCTGTGACGACTCACATGCTTCAGGCTTAGCTGAGATCTTGCCAGGACAATTAGCCTGGCCCTGCATGCTGGCATCTGGCCCCTAAAGACTAGCCGCCGCTGCCCAGAATGTGCCCTGCTCCCCAGTGCCCAGAACTCAGGGCTCCTGGCAGCTCCCAGTAACACTCTGGGGCTACGGTACAGCGAGGACGGCGTGTGCCTTGCACGAGGACGACCTGGGTTTTGCCACTGACCTCCCATATGACTCCCAGAGCACCGCCAGGAGTAATTCCTGCATGTAGAGCCAGGGGTAACCCTTGAGCATCACCAGGTATGACGCAAAAGAAAAAAAAATCTAGTAACACCCTCTGGCGCCCGTGACCCATTTCCAGCCGAGGGTGGCACTGGGCGACCCCCACCATGCCCGGGGCTCCAAGGGCCCTGCCTACTCCGAATTCCACCCCTTGTCCTCCCACCTTACTTAGCATCCTGTCATGCCCTTTGTGGGCCTCTCGGGGGCTGCTTGTCCCCGATTCCCCAAACTCCCCACCCCTCCCCAGGAGAGAGGAGGAGCGCCAGAAGCAGGAGTTGCTGAAGCGGCAGAAGGAGCAGTCGGAGCTGCTGCGGACGCTGGGCTACGACGAGACCAAGCTGGCGCCCTGGCAGCGGCAGATCATCCTGAAGAAGGGGGACATCGCTAAGTACTAGACGCCAGAGCTGGGGGGATCCCTAGGCCCCGGGCGGAACCCTCCCAGACCTCCACCCCGCCGCACACCCCGCCCTGGGCGCACGGCCCTCTCCGCGCGCGCATGTTCCCTGGACGCCCGTGGGCGGGGCCGCCTCCCCCGCATCCCGGAACCCGAGAAGCTGCCGCATCCTGGGCCGGGCCAGCACCCCCCCGCCCCCCCCCCCCCCCCCCCCGCGCTCGGGACGGGGCTTTCCCGCCTCCCTGACCCAGATCTGCGCCCTGCCCGGCCGCGTTTCCCACCCCGCCAGGGGTTTCCTCTCAGTCATTTGTTTACCAGAAACGACGCAAACTGCCCGTCAAACTGCCCGTCGTCGGGCGAGCTGCCCCCACCTCCCTAGCCAGGCTCCCCGCCCCGGGCATTGTCACACCCTGGTGCGGGGGATGGAAACGGAGGTCCCGACCTGTTCTCCCTCCCCCCCACTGCTGTCCCCCTGCCCTCGCCCGCCAGCTCACACCTCTATTAAAACACTCGTCCGCCCGGGGCTCATATATACCGACAACCGCTCGCGTGGCCTCTGACTTCCCCTCTCCCCGCGCGCGGGCTCCCGGGCACCCCTGGGCCTCCCGCGGCACAGCGGAAGGGGCCGGCTTGCCGGCGCTAAGAACCACGCGCTTCCCCGACCCGGGCCAGCGAGACGCACAGCCCTTTCCATGGAAACCAAGGCTGGGCCAACGCACACACCCCCCCCCCTTCCACAGAAACGCAGACAGCATATAAAAAACTTAACAGGTTTTTTTTTTTCTTTTTGGGTCACATCCGGCTTTGCACAGGGGTTTCTCCTGACTCATGCACTCAGGAATCACTCCTGGCGGTGCTCCGGGGACCATATGGGATGCTGGGAATAGAACTCGGGTTGGCTATGTGCAAGGCAAACGCCCTCCCCGCTGTGCTATCGCTCCAGCCCCAAAACTTCATAGGTTTTAATACCCAGGCCTTGGTGGGCCTCAGAGGGACCCGGAGTGAGCGCCACCGCCGCCCTCCCGACCCCCTCCCGCGCAGCCCCCCTGCACCCCGGCGGGAGCGGGGCTGTGATGCTGGTGGGCACTGCTACGCAGGGCCGTGCCAGGGGCTTCCTAAGTGACATAACATGTCTACGTGCATAAGTAACTGTACTTAAGGCTCTGCCAGGGCCGCGCCCCGGCACCCGCGTCACGCGCCGCGCTGCAAGCGTCCGCGCAGGTCCTCGGCGCAGCCGTCCAGCCCCATGCGCTCCAGCGCCCGGTACACGGCGCCCAGCCCCGCCGACTCCTGCTGCCGCCAGCGCTTGAGCATCTCATACTGCTGGTCACGGAAGCGGTCCACCTCCACCTCCACCGCCTCGATCTCCGCCTCGCGCAGCCCCAGCGTGCGCACAAACTCCTTCCAGCGCCGCGCGGGCACCGCGTCGATCACGTCATATAGCTGCGGGCCCGGCTGGAGCACGACCTCCCGGCCTGCAGCGGGCATAGGCGGCCGCGGTGGCGTGGACGGATGGCCTGGGGGCCGGACAGAGAGCAGCGCTGGGGCGGATGCGGTCCCAGGCCCCGGCCGGGAGCAGCAGCTCCTGGTCAGGACCAAGGACAGGAAGTGGCTTCCCCCAACCCCGCAGGAAGTCCCACCCCTGGCCTCAGGTCACCCAGGCCCCTTACGGAGAGGCGGGCTGGGCAGCCAGTCCTTGACCCAAGGGACGGCAGGGCAAGGCGCCTCCTGGGTCTGGAGGGGGCCAGAATTCCAGTTGTTGGCTGCCAGGCGGCTGTTGGGGAGCTTCAGGAGGGTGTGGGCACTGTCCTGGAGTAAGAGGGCGGAGTCCTGGAACCGGGAGAGGCTCCAGTTGGCCCCTTGCTGCTCAGCAAGGGCCCGGCCTGGGGTCTCTGCTGGATCTCCCTCCGTTTTGCCCCCTGGGTGAGCCCACTCCACTCAACTGAGCCGGGTGTGGCACCAGGGCAGCTGTCTTGCTCACCAGTAGCTGAGCTGGATGGCCCACCCCGGGTGCCCCCCCCCCCCCCGCCCCGCCCCGAGTGTTGGAGCTCCAGGAAGGCCAACCTGAGTGGCTGAGGCTGGAGTCCCGGAGAGTCTTACCTGGAGGGGCAGCAGAGTCTCCGTCCGCGCTTCCTCTGCTGAAAGACGGGGTCCAGTGAATAAGCCGCCAGGCTCCTCAGGTCCCTCTGCACAGCCCCTGCAGTCCCTGCCTCCACATCCCCTTCCTTGTCAGGGCCCGGGCCTGGCCGTTGCGTGTTGGTGTGTACACGCGCACACTCACCAGACACCACAGGGCGGGCGGCCTGGCGGCGACGGGACGTGTAGATCAAGGTGGCACCGAGAAGGAGTGCGACCACCAGTGCTGCCAGGAGCACCTGGACCCAGAACACTAAAAAGAGCAGCTGGTGGGTGGGAGATGGGCGCCCCTGGACACCCCCCCTACACACACACACACCCCCGGGGGCAGGCCTGCTTGTACGGCCAGCACCACCTACTCGGTCTCCAGCCACACACTGCCGCACAGGGTTTGGGACAGCTCCCCGGGGTGATCAGGGTGATCCTGCAAGGGGAGCATCAGGTGGGTGGGAAGGGGGGGATGCACCCGGGCCTCTCCCCTGGGGCCCTCACAACCCCTAGGAAGTTGGCCAGTAGTGCTGACATGTGCCTGGAGTCCAAAATAACGGCATCAGTCACACTCTGCAGCCGCCAGTGACAGGGGCAAAGAGGTCAGCCCTGGAGAGGTTGGAGCGACAGCACAGCGGGAAGAGCATTTGCCTTGCACGCGGCCAACCCGGGTTCGATTCCCAGCATCCAATAGGATCCCCTGAGCACTGCCAGGGGTAATTCCTGAGTGCAGAGCCAGGAGGAACCCCTGAGCATCGCTAGGTGTGACCCGAAAATACAAAAATAAATAAATAAAAGAGGTCAGCCCTGGAGCTGGGCTGTGAACTTTGTCGAGGCAGGGCTGGAAATGGACCCGGCCCCTCACCTGAGTGAGGCAAGTGCTCCCCACTGGCCCACACCCTGGCTCTGGGGTCCTGCTGTTCCCTGGAGAACAGCACCTGAAACAGGGCAGCTGCCCATGATGGCCCTGTATGTCCAGAGACCCCCCCCCCCACAGTTACAGACGGGAGGTGATGCCAGGATTCCCCTGGAGAAAAGCAAGAGGTTCAGCGTTTTAGCTCCAATCTGGAACTATAATCAGAGGCACCGCGGCTTCCTTTTCCCGTATAAGAGTGGCCCGGGTCCCTCCCTGTCTCCCCGCTGACCCCAGCCTCTTGTCCCCGGGGCCCAGGGCGGCCAGGCAGTTACTTGGGGCAGGACACGCATTCCTTATTGTGTTCGTAGAAGCCGTCCAGGCAGGCCCCACATTCCTCCTGTCCTTGGGAACCTGCAGGCAACAGATGGTGTGGGGGACCTGGAGTGGGGGACGCGGGGCGCGGCCGGAGGGCGTCAAGGGGGTCCTCACAGGCTGCTGGTGGGCGGCGGTTCAGGCTCCCACAGTCCGTGCAGGGTCTGCAGAGGAGATGCTCCTGTATGTCCTTACAGGGATGGTCCCAGCAGCCCCGGAAGAAGCCGGGCTTACAGTCACAGACGGTGTTGGCCACCGCCGAGCAGTTCTGCACGGTCATCTGCAAGGCTGGGCAGGGATGGGGACCACAATGAAGAGAGGGATGGGAGCGGGGGAGCCAAGAAAGGGCTCCTCAAAAGGAAGGGACTGGAGGGAGAGGGGTGGAGTGATAGTACAATGGGTAGGGTGTTAGCCTTGCATGCAGCCGACCAGGGTTAGATCCCACGCATCCCATAGGGTCCCCCAAGCACGGCCAGGAGTAATTCCTGAGTGCAGAGCCAGGGGTAAACCCTGAGCATTGGTGTGACCCAAAAAGCCAAAAAAAAAAAAAAAGGAAGAGATGGGTAGGAATGAGTAGGGATGGGTAGGGGTCCCTGTTCCCCAGGTTAAGTCATGGACACACAGGAGGCTCTCAGGGATGGGGGGGTGTAGGGTGGGAGGCAGGAGGAGAGGCATCCCTCGTGCCTCAGGGTGCCCCAGCCTGGTGCCGGAAGCCTCACCCTCCTCATCACAGAACCGGCAGCGGACACAGTGCTCATAACGGTGGTTCTCCTGGTCCATGTAGGTGCCAGGCTGACACGGAGTGCAGGTGGGGATGTCGCAGGGCGGGCCGCAGGGCCCCTGCAGGAAGTGTCCTAGAGAACGGGCACTGGGCTTGGTTGGGGGGGTCCCCTCTTCCAGTCTCCCCTGCCGCCCGCCGCCACGCACCCTGACCCCCCCGCGCACCTGCTGGGCAACCCTCGCTCAAGGGGCCACTCTGGTGGGCGCAGTCGCTGCAGGTGGCGCTGGCAGCGCCCAGGGCACGCAGCAGCAGCACAGCCTGGGGGACAGGTGGGGGCTCTCCCTGCAAGTCTCCCCCACCGCAGGGCCCACACCTGCACCCCGGTGCTCGCGGGTTCGTGGGCCGAAGGGGCGCCCGGGGGAGGGTCCCCACTCCCCCAGGCCCAGGCCAGGATCCGGGCTGCACCCCGTCCGAGGCGTTCGTTGCCGGCCCCGCCCGCCCAGGAGGCTTCTCAGGAAGGGCGCAGCCTCCGGGCACCGCCAACCGGGTCGGAGGGACGGACCGGCCCAGCCCCAGCCCGGCTAACCCGCCAGCGGGGACCCCCACTCACCGCCGCCAGCGCCGCGCGGACCCTGGGCCGTGGCTCCATGGGCGCGCCACCCGCACACGCGGGCCTGCCCGGGGCTCCCGCTCCCGGCCGCCCGCCCGCCCGCGGCCTCGGGCCCCGCCCCGCAGGGGAGTCGCCGGGGGCGGAGCCCCGCGGTTCTCGGGAAACCCCCACCCCCTCGGCCGCTCACCTGGGCACGGCGGCGGCGTGCGGCGACGTCCCCACCCCCCGCGGGCCGTCACCCGCGGCCACAGCGGCCCCGCCCCGCGCAGCCTTGGGGGGCTCCGGCGGGCCCCTCGCCCCTCCGCTCACGGCCCCGCCCGCCCGCCAGCAAAGGACTCTCGGAGCCGTACGAACAAGTCTTTATAAAACAACGGAAGCTCAATAAATACGCAGCGCGGCCCGCGCCGGAGGGGAGGGCGGCACGGGAGGGTCGCTCGGGCCGGGGGGCGGCGCGCCCGGGGTTCCCGCCTGGCGGCCCGCGGAGGGGTCAGGGCCGGCCAGCTGGGCCGAGAGGTCGGGGTCAGCGGCCGAGCCTCCTCCGCGTCCGTCCGCTGGCAAAGTGCGATCCGGCCGGAAGGTGGCAGCGGGGGCTCCCCGGGGGGCTGCTCGGGACCCGGGCTCAGACCTCCCTGCAGGGGGCGGGGGAGGCTTTCAGGGGCCACGCTCAGGGGCCACCGGACTTCCTCCCGCGCCCGCCGCAGGCTGAGACTCCCAGGCTCTGGGATCTGGGGCCCCGCCCCTTCCCGCACCTCGCCTGGGGTCTGACTCAAACCCCCTGTCCCCCCAACCCCCGCCCCAAGGCCCAGCCCCGTCTAGGTATGAGATTACCCCGCCCCCCCACAGCTGACTCAGCCCCGTACCAGGGTCTGACTCTACCCCGCCCACCCACACTAGGGTCCGCCCACCTTGGGTCTGACGCTGCCTCGCCCCTCGAGGTTGACAATCCCGCCCCTCGGCCCCGCCCACCTTGGGGTCTTACGCTGCCCCGCCCCTCACACTAGGGCCCCCCCTTGAGGCTGACTATCCCGCCCTACGAGGCCCCGCCCACCTTGGGGTCTGACGCTGTCCCGCCCCTCACACTAGGCCCCGCCCCTTGAAGCTGACGATCCCGTCCCCACTAGGCCCCACCCACCTTGGGTCTGATACTGCCCCGCCCCTCAAGGCTGACTATCCCGCCCTCACTAGGCCCCACCCACCTTGGGGTCTGCTGCTGCCCCGCCCCTCACACTAGGCCCCGCCCCTCGAGGATGACTATCCCGCCCCCACTAGTCCCCGCCCACCTTGGGTCTGATACTGCCCCGCCCCTCAAGGCTGACTATCCCGCCCTCACTAGGCCCCACCCACCTTGGGGTCCGCTGCTGCCCCGCCCCTCACACTAGGCTCCGCCCCCTGATTCTGACTGTCCCGCCCCCACACGCTAGGTCCCATCCGCTGACCTGGGGTCCGGGGTTCCTCCCTGCCCACCCTTGCGCCTACTAGTCTGGCCTGGCCCTCCCGCTCCTCTGGGGTCTGGGGCTGCCCGGCCCCGCCCGCCCACTCACGAGGCAGTGAGCGTGGAGTTGAGCAGCAGCGTGGTTCGGATGCGGTAGAGTTGGGCCAGCGTCAGCTTCCGGTGCTGGGGAGAGATCCCTGCGGGGGGCTCCGGCTGGGCCCGGGGAAGGGCCCCCCGCGGCAGCCCTCCGAGTCCGTCTGAGCAGCTGGCTCCACCCTCTAGCTCCGCCAACGGGGCGCCGCTGTCGGGGCTCCGTGTCCCCTGGCCGTGCCAGCCGGACTCCGCTCCCGGGGAGCCCTGAGTCCTGGTGCCGGGGCCGGTGGGCGCCAAGCACAGTTCCGACAAGCTGCGGCTGGGGCCGGGGGGTGCCCCGCGGGCGGCCGCCCCGCTCAGCAGCTGGAGCAGGCTGGCCTCGGACTTGGACTTGAGCAGGTGGGGCGGGCAAGGCGGCGGCAACTGGACAGGGGGGCGGCGGCGGCAGCGGCGGGGCGACGGGGGCGGGGAAGGGGCCTGGGGGAGCTCGGGGCGCACGGAGGCTGGCTCCGCCCCGGGGGCTGTGGCCCCAAAGTCTTGCAGGGAAGAGGGGGAGAGGGTGCCGTAGGCCGAGTCCATGGAGCAGGAGCGCCCGTCGGTGGACCCCAGCGGCAGCAGCTCGCTGGTGGGCGTGATGGACGAAGCGGTGGTCCCCAGGGAGGTCTCGTCGGACTGGGAGCTGAAGGGGCCGCCCTCGAATTCCGGAGTCGATGGGGTCGCCCCAGGCTCCACCACTACCATGGCCAGGGTCTCCGTGGAGCCGTCGGAGCCACTGCGGGTGGGAGAAAGTCAGAGTTGGGCCCAGGAAAGCGGCCCGGCCTGGACAAAGTGACAGGACTGGCGGGACCCCTGTGTGGCCCCCAGCTGCTGGCAGGGAGCGCAGGGGCTGGCAAGTTCTCTCAGCTCTGGGACTGGAGTGACAGGACAGCGGGGAGGGTGCTCGCCTTGTACACTGGCAACCCGGCACCCCAGATGGCCCCTCAAGCCTGCCAGGAGAGGTCACTGAGCAAGCCAGCATGGGCTCTGCACACCACTGGGCGTGGCCCCCAAGCGAAACCAAAATAAAAGAAAGTTCTCTCAGCTCTTGGGCCATAGTCACCGGGATAGGCCGAGAAGACTTTCCTGGCAGAACGGTGACAGGCTGGCACCTGCCACCCGGCGGCAGCGCCAAGGCAGCCAAGTGGGCACCCACGTTCAGAAGCCTGCATGTCCCGGGCCAAGTCCCCTCCAGGCGCTTCACATCCGGAGACCCTTTATTTTGGTTTCTGGGCCCACCTGGCGGATTCAGGACTTACTCCTGGCTCTGTGCTCAGGGCTCACTCCTGGTGGTTCTCAGAGGACCGTATGGGATGGGGGCGATCGGAAAGGAGTTGGCCTTCCGAGCACGGCGAGCATCAAAGGCCTGCACTACCTCTTGGGCCGCAGGGGGATACGGCCACACCTGCCCCCATCAGTGGCCTCGGAGTCAGAGGTCCTGGGCTGGCCTGCTGGGGACGCTGGGCGTGTGTACCAGTGCTGGGCATGCTAAATGGGTGTACCGGGGTGGGAACTCTGGGGGCTGTACCAGTGCTGGGAATTCTGGGAGATTCTATTAGCGCTGGGATGTGGGTATACCTAATGCTGGGGTGCTGAGAGTTCTGGGTGGGTATAATTCCAGGGGTATAATCCCATCAGTGTTGGGGTTGTGGGGGTGTGAGGCGGCCGTACCAGTGTTGGGAGTCTAGGCTGTGGGTGCTTTTGCGCAGGATGGTGGGGGAACTGGCAGCTGAGGCGCTGCTCTCTCCGCCGTCCTCCTCTTCCTCCTCCTCCTCGTCTTCCTCCTCCTCCTCCAGGCTTTGCAGGCTGGGCTGGCCCCCCGGCTGCTCCTGCGCGCGCAGCTGCTGCAGCTGGTTCTACAAGCGGGGGAGGGCGGGCTGTGAGCCACCGCTGCCTGGGGGGGGTGCCCCACCCGGCTGCCCACACCCGGCCCCCACCTGGGCATTGTAAATGGCCTCCACCCAGCCTCGGCACAGAGCCTGGCTGCTGGCTTGGAACGTGTAGGCCCCCACGGCACTGTGGAACTCATTCAGGTGGATGAGGAGGAAGGAGCCTGCGTGGAAGGTGGCCATGTCAGTGTGCCCCATGGCCCGGAGCCGCCTGCCTGCCCACCGCCCACCTGGGCATGGGGCCACCTCACCGGGGTCCCGGAGCTCCCGGCACACGAGCCTGTCCACCAGCAGTGGTGGCCGGATGACCTTGGTCCTCTCGGCCTTCTTCACTGCCTTGGTCACCAGGAGCAGGTCCGTGAAGAGGAAGCAGTACACGTCCATCTGGGGGGAAGCCCATGGGGAGGGCCAGGGACTCAGGCCAGCCTGTCTGCTGCCCGCCTTCCCCTGGGGGTACTCAGACTTGGACACCAGCCCTCTGCCCGGAGTGGAAGAAAAAGGAGGCGGGGTGGCTGCTTCACGGACTTCCACTAAGTCTCCATGCAAGGGAAGAGAAGGGGTGACTGCCAGCAGGGGTGATCTGAGCACAGAACCACAAGTAACCCCTGCGCATCGCCCGGTGCGGGCCCCATTTCAAAACAACAAAACCAGGTGCCTCTGGGGCCTCCAGCGGGTCCTGCAGCAGCTGATGGGCGAACAACTCAGGAGTGGGGGTCTGGCCTTCCTCGACCTACTCAGGGATTGGCCCTGCCCTCTGGGAGCACAGATGGCCTCTCTGGGCAGTGCCCCAGCTCTGCCATCAGGGCCTGGTGAGACGCACACAGCAGCGGGCCACCCTTCCTTCAGCACACTCCAGCCTGACGCGTGCTCACGTGCAGAGGGGGCAGGGACCAAGCCCCAGGGGAAGGTCGGAGCCCTGGACACACCTTGCTGTCCTTTCCCTCCTTCATCCGCAGGCTTCCTTCCAGCAACAGCTGACGTGTCTCCTCCGGGGAGGCACCAGGGATGGGCGCCGTCAGGTCCAGACGCAGGAATTCCTTCAGGAGCTGGGGATGGGGCCCGTAAGCTCAGGGCTGCCCAGAGTCACGGGGTAGGAGCAACCCTGCGCCGCGGTCGGCACACACCTTGTCCACCTCGTCATTGCTGCCCTCCACCACCTCGTAGGCGTCGATGCGGCTCCCCACAGCCGCCAGCCGCTGGCGCTCCTGGCGCTGCCGCATGCACGCGTTCACGTGGTGGATGAAGCGCTCCACCGAGTCGATCTGGGCAAGGGGCCGCGGGGCCACGGAGAGTTCAGGCCTGGGGTCAGTGCCTGCGTCTGGGGGCACCACCACCCTGCCAGCTCCCGCTGCCCTGATTACCATGGTGACCACAGCCTCCTTGGTGCGCGGCTCATCCGTCTTCCTCAGCACTGACTTGAGCAGCAGCGGGTACTTGGTGAGCCGCTGGTGGGGCTTGGCCAGCATGTCGCTCAGTTTCAGCCGCTGGCACTGCTGATGCTTCTCGGCCCACTGCAGCGGGGAGGGGTGGGCGGAGCTCAGGAAAGGCCACGCCCAGAGCAGGCCACGCCCAGAGCAGAGATACAGGCAGGCTCACCATAGGCCCTCGCCTAACATGCCACACCCACAACAGGAGAGCAGGCAGGCTCAAGATAGACCCCACCCTCACGACCCCACACAGGGCAGGGGATGGGCGAGCTCACGATAAGCCCCGCCCCAATGTGCCACGCCCACCGCGGCTGCAGGAGAAGTGGGCAGTCTCACACTAGGCCCCACCCACGCCTGTCCCGCCCAAGGCAGGGGGGGGAATGGGCGGGTTTGCAATAGGCCCCGCCCCACCCAGGGAATGGGCAGGCTCGCGATAGGCCCGCCCAGGGCAGCACGGGGGGGGGGGGGGGGGAATGGGCAGGCTCACAATAGGCCCCGCCCCACACAAGCCCCGCCCAGGGGGCAGGGAATGAGCGGGCTCGCGATAGGCCCGCCCCGCGTATGTCCCGCCCAGGGCAGCAGGGGAATGGGCGGGCTCGCAATAGGCCCCGCCCCAGCACGGCGTGTGGGCGGGGCTCCTTAGACCATTCCCGCCCCTTCCGCACCACCCTCCGCAGCCCTCACCGTGACGTAGGCCCGGAAGAGGTCGTTGTCGCGCAGCAGGCCCCGCATGTACTCCATGCAGCCTTCCTCCTCCATGCAATACCGGGTGTAGGGTTTGAAGAGCGAGCCGAACTGCGCGGGCACAGCACGTGGGCTCGCTGCAGCGCCGCCCTTCCTCCCGCTCCCACCCCATCTGGGTGCTGGGTCCGCAGGGGCACAGACCGACACCCCCGCCTTCGCGTCCCGGGGCCACCGTACCATTTTGAAGCCCTTGAGGAAGTCGCAGGGTTGCATCAAGGCCCGCGTGCGCCGCGCCTTCTCCAGCACCGGTGCCATCACGCTGGCCCACAGCCGCCGGTGCAGCCGCGCGATCTCCGGGATGTTGCTGAACAGTCGCTCCGCCTCCACCTGGGGCCGGCAGGTACGATGGGCCCCTCCCTCCCGCAGCCCCGCCCTGTCCACTCCGCCCGCGGCCCCCGCCCCCCGTCCCCTGGGCACCTCGCACAGCAGCCCGGACTCTTGCAGGTTCAGAAGACAGCACAGGAACAGCTGTGGGGCGCAGAGAGCTGCCGTGTGCATGGGGGCGCCAGCCGCCAGACCCCGCCCCACCCGAGCCCAGACCCCTTGTCCGAACTCCGGCTCCCAGGAGGCGCTGGAGAGAGCCAAGCCTCCTGAAAGGAGAGCCCACCTGCCTTGCCTCACCCAGGAGGATGCTCTCGGGGCCCTCACGTCAAGCAGTCCTGCCTCGGTTTGGTTCCATCGGACTTTTTTGGCCATGCCAGGGCGCCCAGTGCCACTTTCTCCCCCACCTTGGCTGGTCCTCCCTTCATGTTTTCATCTGAGGGGCGCCCTCCCTGATCCCCCAGGCTCAAGCCAGGGATAGACGCTTCCCCCGGGAACAAGGTCGCTGCACACGACCTGGTCAGCGTGCCCAGCAGGTGTCAGGCCTCACTGAGGAGTGGACGGGCCAAAGCCTGAGGCCTGAGCTCCTGCAGCCGGGGGCCCTCTCCCTTACCCTCCCACCCCGGGGCCTCTGCAGACACCTGGGCGCTGTGGCGTGGCACTCACGTTGGTGATGACCCGCAGTTTCTTGATGTAGGAGGCTTCGGTGTGCAGGAGCTCCCAGATGGCCTCCTGCTGGTGGCTCTGTCGCCGGCTCAGCTTCTGCAAGGAACAGGCGCCCGCGTGGGTGCAAGGCGCGGGGAGCAGCCTACACTGGATATTTGTTCTGGCGGGGACCCAGTGGTCCCCCCAAGTTCTGGCCCTTCCTTTCCCACCAAAACAGCTAACGAGGGCCAGAGCGACACAGTCCAGCGGGGAGGGCATTTGCCTTGCAAGTACGTAACCAACCCGGGTTCAGTTCCCAGCATCCCATATGGGACCCTAAGCACTGCCAGGTGTGATTCCTGAGTGCTTAGCCAGGAGTGACCCCTGAGCATCGCCAGGTTTCGCCCCAAAACCGAATAAGTCAAGAAATGAACAGTGGAATGCCCTACGATTGTTTCAGCTGGCCTGTTCCCCAGCCTGGGCAGGGCTGCGGAGGGAAGGGCGGGCACGGGCAGCACCCACCTCGTGCCCGTCAATGAGCTCCCGCCAGCTGTCCTCCAGTCGCAGGCAGGCCTCGTCCTCCTCCTCGTCCTCATCCTCCTCCTCCTCCCACGAGTCGTGGTCGAAGCGTAGCCGCCGGGGCAGTCGCGGCAGCCCGAAGAGCCCGTAGGCATGCAGCTTGCCTTCCAGCTGCTCCAGCTTGTCCACCTCCTGCCAGGAGGCCGGAGGGTCAGGGGCCAGGTCCGGGTCAGGATCCAGCTGCCCGCCCACCCACCCACGGCCCATGGGAGCACGTACCCGGCCGAAGGCGCCGGCGCTGGGGCTGGAGCTGAAGAAGCCGCTGAAGCGACTGGCCGCCCGGTTCTTCCAGCTGTCACTGGGCAGAGAGCAGCTGGACGGCACGGGGGGCTCCTGCCCAGGGATGCTCGCCTCCCCCAGGAACTCGGACATGTTCTTGCGCCGGCGGCCCGGAGCCTGGGCAGAGGGTGGGCATGGTCAAGCCTCCCAGCGCCCCCTGGTGGGCTCGGGGAGCTCAGCCAGCCTGGGCAGACGGCGGGCATGGTCAAGGCCCACAGTGCCCCCTGGTGGACTTTGGGAGTGGACGGGTGGACAGGTGGGCATGGTCAAGGCCGACAGCACCCCTACCCTCCTATCTCCACCACCCCCCCCCCCGTGGGCTCCCGGAGCTCAGCCAGCCTGGGGGACAGGAGGGTTTCAAGGGCAAGACCCTGGAAAGATGGCTCCCAGCACACAGCCCAAACTGCTGCCCAAGGGGGTGTCACTGTCACTGTCCTCCCGTTGTTCATCGATTTGCTCGAGCGGGCCCAGTAACGCCTCCATACTCAGACTTCTTGTTACTGTGTATGGCGTATCGAATACGTCACGGGGAGCTTGCCAGGCTTTGCCGTGTGGGCAAGATACTCTCGGTGGCTTGCCGGGCTCTCCGAGAGGGGCGGAGGAATCGAACCCGGGTCGGCCGGTGATGGCATTCAAATGCTCAGCTACCAATGGATCATGACACGGGGGCACTTACACAGCAAGGGACCCAGTGTCCCCAAGATGAAATGGTCACATACACACTTACTGCACACACTCTCTTTCTCTCACATACAAACACACACACACACACACACACACACCATACACACACCATACACAATCCCTGGGCACTAGAAGGTTCCAAGACCAGACCCTCTCTGGAGTCCAGCTGGTTCCAGAGACGGTCCCTGCTTCCCCAAACTGGCCCCATGCCCAGAAGGGGAGACCAGCACCCCAGGAGCGGGCGGCCAGGGGCTGACTCCACCCCCACCCCCACCCCGAGCCCCTCCTCACCAGGATGTCCAGGCTCTCCCGGCGGCTCTGGGGGTCCATGCGCTCTGGGGCAGGGGGCCCTGCCCCGGCTGGTCGCAGGATTGGCAGGCTCAGGGACTTGGCGTCCTTCACGCCCTGGTCCACTTTCCCCTCGTCCCCTGGCTTGGCTGGGGTAGCAGCAGGAGAAACAAGGAGAGGCTGAAGGGACCCTGATCCCTGTCCTGCGGCTGCAATCCCGCCCACCGTGCCCCCCCCCCCCGACCCGCAGGTGGCAAGGCTGCCCAATGGGCCCCATCCAAGGCACAAGCCCTCTGTGTGCCCGGCCCGCCCTCCCTGCCTGACCCGCTGGCAGCTCACCTTTGACCCGCAGGTAGTGCCCCCCGAATCTGTAGGCCTCGAAGGTGAGGGACAGTGGGGTGTTGGACTGGTCCAGGTAGATGTCCGTCTTGCCCAGCGAAAGGCCTTTTCTCTCGAAGACTGGCTGCAGCACCTCCCTGACCCAGGACATGGGTGAGGAGGCTGGGGGGGGAGGGGGCGCCCCGTGACCCCGACAGCCCCTGGCTCCCCCAGGCCCCTACCCCAGAGACTTCTTCCTCATGGCCGGCACGATCTCCGTCTCCACGGCCACGCTCAGGTCAAACTTCAGGGTGAAGCATTCCTTGCTTGGGTCCTGGACAACGACGTGGCTCTCGTCGGCCGTCCCACACCCCCCACCCCCGCCACCCTCAGTCCCAGGCTCCAGATCGGGGACCCTGGCAGGGGAGGGAACTGAACACAGGGGTCTCCCTGGCACTCTGGAGACCCCCGACACGTCCCAGGCGGGCAGGGTGCCCCTAAGGGCCCCCCCCCCGCCTTCCTGAGAATCCTGCCCGCTGGCCGGGGAGGGGTCTTACATCTGTGTGTCTCCTCCTCGCCTTCTTCTTGGACAGCTTCAGGCCCGTGCCCCTCCGATCCCTGCCAATGAGAGCAGGCAGAGGTGGGTGCCCTGGCAGAGGCCTCGGGAGCCGCGGGCCGTGCGCCCCCTGCTGGCCGGTGCCAGAGTCACACTCCACGGCTCCACACCTGCCTGGGCCACCTTTGCTGTCACCCACCCATTTGCATCACCCACCCTTTGCCATCCACGCAGACTTCTTCCTCCTCCTCCAAGTCCACTGCGGGGCTGGTGCGGGGGGGACACGAGCGTGTGGACACGTTCCGGGCCAGGACGGAGCCTGTGGGGTGAAGCGGGAGGGAGGGTCTCCGTCAGTCCCCTCCCCCCTCTCAGACCATTCTAGCTTTCTAGCAAGGCCAACCCTGGCACCTCCTACGGTCCCCAAGGCACCCCCAAGGGCCACTACTGAGCATGGCCTCGCGTGGCCAGGAGTCCGGGAGGGGGCAGAAAAAAAGGCCCCGGGTAGTGTCTGGCCCCGTCTCAGTCCCTGGCTCAGTCCTCTCACTGGGATCCGAAACCCCCACCTCTGGGCCTGTGGGGGAAGGAACCCGAGTCCTCGGCTCCCCGTCCCCCACTCTGCCACCACACCCGACGTCCCACGCTCCCCTCCCCCCCTCCCCCGCAGAGGAGACAGTCCTTTTGTCCCTCTGACCAGCTGGGAAACGAGCCCAAAACTTGACATTTCCTGCCGAGCCCGGGGTCCCGGGAGGCGGGCCTGGGTCAGGCCCCACTCACCAGGAAAGGCTCCCTCTGCCCTGCCCCGCCCCTCCCCCACCCAGTGGAAGGGTCCCCACTGTCCCCCACCCTGGGGCTCTCCCCTGCAGGCAGCAGCCCTCGGAGACGGTGCCCAAGACACCAGCACGATGGTCCCGAGTGTTTTCTCACGAAACTCTCGCCGGTCGGTCGAGAGTGACAGCATAGCAGGGAGGGTGGGTGCTCGCCTTGCATGGGGCTGAGCCCAGGCACCCACTGTGCCCCCCCCCCCCCCACCGAGCCCCATCGGCAGTGACCTCTGGGTGCAGAGCCAGAAGGAAGCCCGGAGCACTGCTGGGCGTGGCTCAACAATAAATAGATGATTAAAAAATAAAGTACAGGTCAAAAACCAGGCGGCTGGTCGGCGCTGGGCCTTGGGTGCGAGAACGGATTAGGAGGGGCGGGGGGAGGGGAGGGGAAGGAAGCGGCGGATGGAGGTGACGTGGGGAGGTGACGTGGGGACAATGGCTGAGGGTCCTGGATATGGGGACAATGGCTGAGGCGCTTTGGCGGCAGGTGGAGTAATTAACCATCAGTGCCAAAGCTGCCACCCCCATGCTATCTAAACCATCATTTTGGTTTGGCTTCCTCGGGGCTCTGTGCTCGGGGGTCTTTCCTGGTGGTGAAAGGGGCCAGGAACTGAGACCTAGCCAGCCACAGCAAGCATCCCGCCCTCTGCTGCTGTCTCTCCAGCCCTGCCTAAACTGTAAATTTTGGTTTGTTTGGTTTTTGGGGCCACGGCCAGCAGTGCTCAGGACTTACTCCTGGCTCAGTGCTCAGGATCACTGCTGGGAGGGCTTGGGGACCATAATGGGGGGTCAGGGATCGAACCTGGGTCGGCTGTGCTCGAGGAGGGTGCCCTACCTGCTGTGCTAGCACCCTAATGGTAAGTTCTTTTCAAATAAACCAAGAGTGGGCCGAGAGGGCCAGGAAGCCCTCGGTGACGGGGTGGCCAGTGCCAGGAGCCCAGCTAGTGGGGAGGGGGCCTGGGGGCCCAGCGGCTCTGCACTCACCTTGGGGGGGCAGGTCGAAGCGGACATGGCCGTCATAGTGCATGGCGCTGTGGAACCTGTCGTCACAGACCTGGCAGAGGCTGCGGGGGCCCTGGTGGTGCAGCTGGCAGTCGACGTGGTGGCATTCCTGCGGGGGTAGGGTAGAGTGGGGGTCGGGCTGGGCCCGCCAGGGGGCACCACCTGCCCCCCCAGTCATCCATGTCCTTCTCCTGGCTGTCCGGGGCCCATCCAAGCACCAGGTCAGTGTGTGCCAAGCAGGAGAACGTGTCCCCTCTGAGGGACACGGAGTCAAGTCAAGCTCTGCCCAAGGGGTGCAGAGAGAGGAAGTGACCGGGAGAAAGCCGGGGCACCTGAGTGTCAGGGCAGGACTCCTGAGCCGTAGAGAGGCACCCCACCATGCCACCCCACCCTAGGGGTCACCACCTCTCCCCTCTCCTTCCTTCAGCGCCCCCTGTTCTGTCCACACTGCCCCGCACCTGTGCCATCTGGGGATTCTCACGTCCCATTCCCCCGATCCCGCAGGAACCCTCCTTGCGGGGTGACAGGGTGGAGTGGAACTGGCGTGGCGGCGGTGGGCGGGGCTGAGTGGGCCAGGGGGCGGGGCTGAATGGAAGAGGCGGGGCCTAACGAGTCAGGGATGGGGGGCCTGGTGGGTGGGGCCGAGCAAAGCAAGGGGTGGGGCCTAATGAGTCAGGGGCGGGCCTGGTGGCTGGTGTTGAGTCCATCAGGGGGCGGGGCAGGCAGTGACTGGGCGGGGCCTGATGAGCCTGGGGCGGGGCCTGGTGGCTGGTGCGGAATGGCAGGGGGCGGGGCAGGCGGTGAGTGGGCGTGGCAGAACTCCCGAGGCTCAGGGGGTGCACCCACCTTCCAGGGATCTGCAGCCTCAGGCGCCTGGGGTGGGCGGGACAGGGGTGCAAGGACCCGGCGTCTCAATCCCAGACTGCCACTCCCACGTCCTCCCCCTCCCCTCTTCTTCTCCCACAGTGCCCCCCAAACATTGGCCGGGGATTCCCCACAGTGGGTTTTTTTTTTCAGTGTTTTGGGCCACACCTGGAGATGCTTCCTCCTGAATCCTCCTGGGGAGGGGGGGATGTCTCAGGGCCAAACCCGGGTCTGTCATGTGCAAGGCAAGTATCCCTCATCCTAACCCTCAGCCCCTGACTTTAAAAATATATATACAGATATTTCAAGGCAGGGGCCAAGGCGAGAAAGCTCAGTGTTAGAGCACGTGTGACACTGGCATGGAAAAACTAAAAAGGAAGATAAAAATGACACAATCAGGGGCTGGACAGAGAGGACAGTGGGGAGGGCGCTTGCTTGGTACACACCCAGCCGGGTTCGATCCCGGCATCCCATAAGATCCCCTGAGCGCCATCTGGAGTGATTCCTACGTACAGGGCCAGGAGCATCGCTGGGTGTGGCCCCCAAACAACTAAACAAAATGCCACCCAAGACAGAAAGCCCTGGTGGAGCTCGGAGGTGTCACATAGGCAATGACTGGGCACACTGACCCTGCCAGTCTCTCAGTGTTCACACTCCCCTCCCTGGTGCAGAAACGTGCCCCATCTCAGAGTGGGGACCCCTCCTGCAGGCATTCTGTGGTGCTTGAGGGGTGCTGTCTGATGGCGCAGAGGCCTCTGCAAGCCCACCAGGTGACTGGGGTGTTGCCTGCCCCTGAACGTAGGACCCCCACCATCACGGGGCTTCCTGGCCCAGACTATCAAGTCTCTGAGCGGGGAGTCCACCGTGAAGACCCTCAGTGTGGACATGAGTGAGGGCCTTGGGGGTTTTAGGGACGTGGAGTGCTGCAGGCCAGGACAGACTCCGTGAAGTCCCCTTCTTCTACATGTCTGTTGGCAGTAACACAGGATGTCCTGGCGCCCGCCCCCCCCCATCCCTCCCCAAGGGTTGGAGTGTCCACCGATGGCCTAGCCTAAAGGTGAGAGTTTCTTCTCCTGTTCCCAACCACTGACCCCCAGTCCCTCTCAGACTCTGCTGGCCTTTACCTCCGGTTCCAGCCCTCATCGCACACCACCTCCATGCTGGGGACCCCACGATGTGGCATCCGGCAGGGATGTGGCCTGGGTCACCATGGGTCACTGCCTCCTCCCCGCAGGTTTTGCCGAGCATCCTGAACCTCAGCCAAATGAGGAGATGCTCTGAGCTTCCCCAGGCTGACCCGAAGCTCCACAGATCGTGTGCTGTGTGGGATATAACAGCACACAGGGCCAGGGAGTAGATGAGGTGAAGGTCAGCTGGCGCAGAGAAGAGGGCCAGAGGCAGCGCCACCGGGCAGAACCCTGTTCCAGAGGGAGGTGGCAGCACCCATCTCCAAGCCGGGGAAGCAACAAGCATCCAAGCACATGGGCTCAGACAGGACCGGGAAGGCTCCCAGTGCCCCGAGAGGGACAGATGTGTGCTGGTCACACCCCACCCCGAGTGGTGTTCAGTAGTTACAGTAAAAAACGAAACAAAGGGCGGGGAGCGATAGTATAGCAGGGAGGATGTTTGCCTTGCCTGCAGCCGACCCGGGTTGGATCACTGGCACCGCATATGGTCCCCAGAGCACGGCCAGGAATAATTCCTGAGTGCAGAGGCAGGAGAAACCCTGAGCACCACCGGGTGTGGTCCCCATATCCCCAAAAATGAGACACAAAAAAGGTGTCATTTTTTGTCACTTCCTGGAAATTGATCCGGTTCAGTCTTGGTGCTGGGGACGGAACTCGGGGTCTCCCTTTTGAGGTTTGCAGCTCTACCTGAGCCCCATCCCGGGTCCTGTGGGGTCACCTTGACTCTTTCTGCCGCCGCACCCCACTGGGCCAGCCGTTCTGAACATTCCATTCCCCCCCCCCACTTCCATCTCTGTCGCTCTCACCAGCCCTCCAGCCCAGCTCAATCACCATGACTCAGAGCCGGGTGGCTGTCCCCACCTTACCCGCACTAGAGGACCCTGTTAGGAGTCACACCTCCACCCGCTGGCGCCTCCCACCCTGAAGTTCGGTGAATCTCAACGGCGCACGCCACGCCCGCCCCCACTTCTGACTCACCTGGCTTCACCCACTCACCTCCTGTTCCCGCCCGATTCACTCAGGCCCGCCCCCTTCCGGTTGGTACCAGTCACCAGACCCCGCCCCTGGCTCATCAGGCCACGCCCACTCACCGCCTGCCCCGCCCCCTGATTGACTAACCACCAGTCACCAGACCCGCCCCTGATTCATTAGGCCCCGCCTGTTCACCACCTGCCCCACCCCTTGCTTCGCTCGGCCCCACCCACCAGCCACCAGACCCCGCCCCAGACTCGTTAGGCCCCGCCCCTCCCACTCAGCCCCGCCCACCACCGCCAATCCCACTCCACCCAGTCACCTCGGGAGGAGGAGGGTTCCTGCAGGGGGAGTGGGACGTGAGAGTCTCCAGATGGCACAGGTGCGGGGCAGTGTGGACAGAGCAGGGGGCTGAAGGAAGGAGAGGGGAGAGGTGGTGACCCCAGGGTGGGGTGGCATGGCAGGAGTGCCTCTCTGCGTCTTTCTCACGGGGCCCTGACTCCTTGCTAAGGCCCCTGCCGCTGTGATGGAGCCTCGAGCCCCATCCCGCACCGCTCCTCCCTGCCCCTGTGCTCTCGGGGGCTCTGTGACCTGGGGACCCCAGCACCCAGCCACACTGGGTCGTGTCCTCAGTGCTGCGACCAAGTGGGTGAGCGCTGGAGCCCCTGAGGAAAGAAGGGTTCCCGCCTCCCTGTCCCCTGGGGGCTCCCCGCTCACGGGGCAGAGGGTCCCAGCCAGGACCACGGGCTCCTCCTAGGAGGCGAGGAGGAATCGGGTCATCCCTGCCGGCCAGTGGACGTGAGGCTTTGTTTTGGATCACACAGCCAGTGACCAACCGGGGCTGTCAGATCCCAGACCCTCCTCACATCCTCCCCATGACTTGGCAGCCGAGGGGGAGGAAATCAAACCGGCCATGCTCGATGCTCGGACCCCTGTGGGACCCAGCAGATGAAATGGGCATGCAGGGGGGGGGGGGGTAGCCAGGAGAGTCCGGTTAGAGGAGCTGGGCCCTGGGCAGGCCACTGTGGGCATCACAGCCTGTGCCCCCTGATTCCAGGGCGCCTGCACTGCACCCAGGGGTGGGGGGGGAGGTTGAGGGAGGGGACCCCTTCACAGGCCAACGGGGGCTGTCCATCCCATCACGCTGCCCACAGTGGGTCTGGCCTTGCAGATCCTGGGACAGCCGCCCCCCCCCACGCCTCCTCGGGCCAGTACCTCAGGGAAGGTCCGGTCCCCATCTGCCAGCGCCACTTGGTGGCCCGCCCCTCCCCCAGGCTGGCAGCCCTCGCGGCACCAGCCCCTCCCCCGTCCAGGCGCCTCAGGATGTCCCCAAGGGCCTCAGAAGCTGGTGCCAAGCTGGCGCTGCTGAACCACGGTGTGGGGGATCTCACCGGGTCCTGGGGGTGGCCTGGCTCATCCCGAACATGTCCCTTCTATTCCCTGGGCCGGCGCTCAGAGGGCACACAGGGAGCCGAAGCCCACAACCATGTAAGCAAGAGCCCTGAGACAGGCAGGGACGGGACCCCCGCCGCGACAGCGCCCTTCCTGTCCCTTCTACACTCCAGCAGCCACTCACAGCCCCAGACCCCACCAGCCAGCCCTGGGCGCCTCCTCCCCTCCTGTCATCATGACACCCATCAGTGCCATCACCACTGTCACTGCCGCTCGCTGCCCAGGACCCGGCTGACCTCCGCTACGGCCACCCACCCCCCAACCTCAGGACACCCAGTGGCTGGGGGCTACTCACTGAATGCAGCAGGCCTGTTGGAGAATGATCCAGAACCCCCCTGACGGCACCCACCGGCAGAAGCTGGGGTGGGCAGACTCCCTGTGTCCCCACCCCTCCCCGAGGGCTGGGCAGCGCGGCTAGGGGGGCTGCCCCGGACCACCCCCTGGTTCTGCACCCCAGCGGCGGGACCAGCCCGGGAACGGGCAGGAGGGGCCGCCAGAACGCCACCTCCACGGCCAGGAAGGACCCCGACTCTCGGGGGAGGGCCCCCTCCCCCCGGGATCCCCCACCGGCGGTTTCTGGGCCCTCCCCGGGAAGCAGGGGCGGGGGGCG